TCTCTCTCTCTCTCTCTTCTCTCTCTCTCTCTCTCTCTCTCTCTCTCTCTCTCTCTCTCTCTCTCTCTCTCTCTCTCTCTCTCTCTCTCTCTCTCTCTCTCTCTCTCTCTCTCTCTCTCTCTCTCTCTCTCTCTCTCTCTCTCTCTCTCTCTCTCTCTCTCTCTCCCCCCCCAATTCATCCAGGTAAACGGCGGGAGTACGCCCCCCCCCAAAAAAAAAAACTCTACGGAAAACACGACCCTTGATTTATTTCAGACCATAAAGATCACAAGAGTGGGGGTCGCTATAGATGGCGATATTTCCTGAAAAAGCAGAGATGACACTTGGACTAACCCCAACTGATCTATGCCACTGGCTTTGAACAAACAGACATTCTATTGTACAGATATATACGAATATGTATATACACACACCATAAACACCCACTTGTATATAAAATATACATATCCTATATGAAAAAAAAAAAAACATTTTTACCTCCTTAGGAGACAAAGAACTTCGAACAACGGGTAATCCAGTAACTATCCAGGGTGTCGGATAGGGATAGAGGGATGGGACGAGGGTGCAGAGGTTAGAGGGGGGATAGATGAAGCTGCGTTCACACCAACCCTGACATTTAAGGGATAGAGGAGTTCCCTGTGTTTTAATATTTCATGTGGCCCTTCATCGTCCAGTGATCTGCCTTGTATCATGGGTGCTGAAAGGGAGAGTTATAACCTGTGTGTTCCTCGTTTCATCATTCTTAACGTCTAATTGATGAGTTGGATTGATTGGGTGATGATTATGAGGGTGATACTGATGATAATGAGTCATTGTGAGTGTTTAGGATAGTTTTTTTTTTCAATGAGGTTAAATTTGGGGGTTAGGAAATCTAAGCTCATTGTTGAACGGTTGAACTTTGCTAGTTGAACTGTTATTTGTTGTTTATGTTCAATATTTTTATGGGCTAGTATCACCAGGTGGTGTGTGAGTGTGTGTGTGTGTGTGTGTGTGTGTACTCACCTAGCTGTGCTTGCGGGAGTTGAGATTTGGCTCTTTGGTCACCTGTGTGTGTGTGTGTGTGTGTGTGTGTGTGTGTGTGTGTGTGTGTGTGTGTGTGTGTGTGTGTAGGTGTGTAAGTGTGTATGTGTGTGTGTACTCACCTAGTTGTGTTTGCGGGGGTTGAGCTCTGACTCTGGTCCCGCCTCTCAACCGTCAATCAACAGGTTTACAGATTCCTATATGTGTGTGTACTCACCTAATTGTACTCACCTAATTGTGCTTGCGGGGGTTGAGCTCTGGCTCTTTGGTCCCGCCTCTCAACCGTCAATCAACTGGTGTACAGATTCCTGAGCCTATTGGGCTCTATCATATCTACATTTGAAACTGTGTATGGAGTCAGCCTTCACCACATCACTTCCTAATGCATTCCATTTACTAACTACTCTGACACTGAAAAAGTTCTTTCTAACGTCTCTGTGGCTCATTTGGGTACTCAGCTTCCACGTGTGTGTGTGTGTGTGTGTGTGTGTGTGTGTGTGTGTGTGTGTGTGTGTGTGTGTGTGTGTGTGTGTGTGTGTGTGTGTGTGTACAGTCAAGGGAAACATCTGAACCGGTTCATGGGTAACCAGGGACCACACCACTGGGAACTTTGGCATCGTATAGTTCCCGTCTCAAAGTGGCACTCTGTCTCCCCTTTCAGAAGGACAGAGAAGGAGCGACTATGAAGGAGAGACGGTGTTTACTCTGTCTCGTGTCTATCCCCTAACCTAAAACATAAACAGTGTTCAATGTTTACAATAGAAACTGGAGTACAAGTCACAGAAAATGTTGACCAGACCACACACTAGAAAGTGTAGGGGCGAGGACGTTTCGGTCCGTCCTGGACCATTCTCAAGTCGATTGTCTAAAATGTCCTCACACTAAATCTTCATATCGATTATAGCCGTGTTAGGATAACCAAACACCTGTCTGCACATTGAGCTAAGTTGTTATAAAGATATCACCCCCACTTGTGCAGATATCAAGCAAATTCATTATACAAATTCATTCGTGGGATAAAGATATCACCCCCACTTGTGCAGATATCAAGCAAATTCATTATACAAATTCATTCGTGGGAGCCGGTCGGCCGAGCGGACAGCACGCTGGACTTGTGATCCTGTGGTCCTGGGTTCGATCCCAGGCGCCGGCGAGAAACAATGGGCAGAGTTTCTTTCACCCTATGCCCCTGTTACCTAGCAGTAAAATAGGTACCTGGATGTTAGTCAGCTGTCACGGGCTGCTTCCTGGGGGTGGAGGCTTGATCGAGAACCGGTCCGCGGGGACACTAAAGCCCCGAAATCATCTCGAGATAACCTCAAGATAACTTCAAGTAGGACATAACTATGACAAGGCTGGACTAGGCATAACTCTGACTATAAATGGATGAGATAACCGATCAATTCAAGCTTTTTGGCACCAGTGCCAGCGGCCAGAGGCACCGTTAGTTGGTCAGTTCCCGAGAGGTGAACCGCTGGTCTAGCCTTGGCTAGTTTATCCCCCATCCCCCCTCCACCCCCCCCTCCCAGGATAGGTGTGGCAGGAAGTTAAGTTAACGAAGGCATGTGGTGGGGGGAGGAGGGAGGGGATGGGGATAGTGGACAGGAGGAGGGATAGTGAGGGGGGAGAGGGGGGGGAAGGGTTTAGGTGACAGGGTAGAAGGGGAAGAGTCGTAGTAAGGGAAGGAGTCGAACTGGGGGACCTGAATTAGACGGTGAAAAAAACAGCACCAATAGCAACTAAGTCTGGAGGATGATGTCTAATATAGTCACCATCATCGTCCCCAACATCACCATCTCCACCATCACCATCTCCACCATCATCATCTCCACCATCACCATCTCCACCCTCACCATCTCCACCATCACCATCTCCACCATCACCATCTCCACCCTCACCATCTCCACCATCACCATCTCCACCATCACCATCTCCACCCTCACCATCTCCACCATCACCATCTCCACCCTCACTATCTCCACCATCACCATCTCCACCATCATCATCTCCACCATCACCATCTCCACCATCACCATCTCCACCCTCACTATCTCCACCATCACCATCTCCACCATCACCATCTCCACCATCACCATCTCCACCCTCACTATCTCCACCATCACCATCTCCACCATCACCATCTCCACCATCACCATCTCCACCATCACCATCTCCACCATCACCATCTCCACCATCACCATCTCCACCCTCACTATCTCCACCATCACCATCTCCACCATCACCATCTCCACCCTCACCATCTCCACCCTCACCATCTCCACCATCACCATCTCCACCCTCACCATCTCCACCCTCACCATCCCCACCATCACCATCTCCACCCTCACCATCTCCACCCTCACCATCTCCACCCTCACCATCCCCACCATCACCATCCCCACCATCACCATCTCCACCCTCACCATCTCCACCCTCACCATCCCCACCATCACTATCTCCACCCTCACTATCTCCACCCTCACCATCTCCACCATCACCATCTCCACCCTCACCATCTCCACCCTCACTATCTCCACCCTCACTATCTCCACCCTCACCATCTCCACCCTCACCATCTCCACCATCACCATCTCCACCCTCACCATCCCCACCATCACCATCTCCACCCTCACCATCTCCACCCTCACCATCCCCACCATCACCATCTCCACCATCACCATGGAATAAAATAGTGAGAGATTTAGTCCACATCACAGAGCACAAATGTTCAGCCTTACTCAGCTCTGGGCCTCCTGAACAAGGTGCTGAAATAGTTAAGAAACTCCATAATATGTTTAAGGATAGACTTAATTAGGTAATATATAAAACAGGTAATAAAATTGCGTTTAAATATTTAATAGCTAAAATTCTAATCATAATGTTTATATATATATATATATATATATATATATATATATATATATATATATATATATATATATATATATATATATACATTTTATATAATATTGATCGTTGATTTGAAAAGATTTTTAAAATATATTTTTTTAATTTATTGTTTCTGTTAATATTGACTTCCTCTCAACACTCCCGCGGTACACATGTGTATCCTTTGACGGTACACATGTATCCTTTGACGGTACACATGTGTATCCCTTGACGGTACACATGTGTATCCCTTGACCTATTTACTGCTAGGTGAACAGGGGCACCAGGGGTGAAGAAACTCTGCCTATTTGTTTCCGCCTCCGCCGGGGACCGAACCCGGGCCCCTTAGGACTACGACGCCAGAGTGCTGTCCACTCAGCCACGAGGCCCCCTTTGTGTGTGTGTGTGTGTGTGTGTGTGTGTGTGTGTGTGTGTGTGTGTGTGTGTGTGTGTGTGTGTGTGTGTGTGTGTGTGTGATCTTAGAAACAAGTAATCCCTTCTTGAGAACTCTCTTTGAATTCATCAGAAAACTGTATTCCATTCTTTCCCCTATCTCTCTCTCTCTCTATTCATCTTCATCGTTATCAACTCTTAATCTTATTTTAATTCTCTCTTATCTACCTCAGTGTCTCTTCTATACGTTGTAGTTATTGTTTTTGATTCAGCTGGAGCAAAATTTCCAAGTAGCACGGGCTATGGCGATCCCGTGAGCCTCTCTACAGCTCTCTAACCCTGTTGTCTCCTGTCACACCCCCCCCCCCGTCCACCTCAGTTACTCTCAGGTACACATTATTAGATAAGCACCATCTGGCCCACCCCCCCCCCCCACTCCCCCCCCCCCCACCCCAGAGCCCAGCTCCCCCCTCCCCCAAAGCCCTGCCCCACCCCCCCCCTCCTTCCCAGAACCCTGCCCCCCTCCCCAGAGCCCAGCCCCCCCTCCCCAGAGCCCCACCCCCTTCCCCAGAGCCCCGCCCCCCCACCCCAGAGCCCTGCCCCCATCCCCAGAGCCCTGCCCCCCCTCCCCTCACATCCTTGGCCGCCCAAGCCTGGCTATATAAAGCGGTGGAAGACGCTAAATGTAGCTGAATTTACGACAACAACACCCTGGTTTAGACAAACGCTCCCTTAGCTGTGACAATGAGATCCCTTGTAAGTCCTGTCTCCTGTGGCTGTTTCTAATCATTATTTCAAGCTTTCATTTCTTTCATTTCAATTATATTTTGAAACAAATATGTGATATATCAGGCGGACGTATCTTTATTTTGTTTTAATAAACTCAACTGTTAATTATTGCCAGAACAGATTACTTTAATATTTAGTAAAATATTTAAAAAAAAGGGATCTTGAGTATTCCTCTACCATAGGTTAGTTTTAGTATACATTTCTACCTTAGGTTACCTTGAGTATCCCTCTCCTGTACCTCAGGTGGTGGTGCTGGTAGTGGTGGTAGTGATGGTGGTGGTGGTGGTGGGGTACCCGTCCCAACTGCCTGCAGGTGTAACCGCGGCCGACTGTCCCACCTATCCTTTCTTCCCCTGTCGTGTCCCTGTCCAGCCGGCCCAGCCCGCCAACCCTGCCAGCGTCACCTGCTACAACTTCCCCTTCTACAGCTGCTAGATTCGTCGTTCTACAGCTGCTAGATTCGTCGTTCTACAGCTGCTAGATTCGTCGTTCTACAGCTGCTAGATTCGTCGTTCTACAGCTGCTAGATTCGTCGTTCTACAGCTGCTAGATTCGTCGTTCTACAGCTGCTAGATTCGTCGTTCTACAGCTGCTAGATTCGTCGTTCTACAGCTGCTAGATTCGTCGTTCTACAGCTGCTAGATTCGTCGTTCTACAGCTGCTAGATTCGTCGTTCTACAGCTGCTAGATTCATCTCTCTACGGCTGCTAGATTCATCTCTCTACGGCTGCTAGATTCATCTCTCTACGGCTGCTAGAGTCATCTCTCTACGGCTACTAGATTCATCTCTCTACGGCTGCTAGATTCATCTCTACACGGCTGCTAGATTCATCTCTACACGGCTCCTAGATTCATCTCTACACGGCTGCTAGATTCATCTCTACACGGCTGCTAGATTCATCTCTACACGGCTGCTAGATTCGTCTCTCTCTCTCTACGGCTGCTAGATTCATTTCCATCTACGGCTGCTAGATTCGTCGTTCTACAGCTGCTAGATTCGTCGTTCTACGGCTGCTAGATTCGTCGTTCTACGGCTGCTAGAGTCATCTCTACACGGATGCTAGAGTCATCTCCACGCGCCTCTGTAAGATGTTCTCTCAACAAGACACAACTTAGATATCAAAGCCTACCTAGAACCTTCCTAGAAAACACACAACTTAACCGCAACACTTAGTTTCTGCTCGTCACTTTGACGCAAAAGTGTAACAACGTAATTATGGTTCTATACGGCACGGTTTACGTCACACGTCACGATTACGTCATGCTTCTATACGGTTCTATTATATTGGCACATAAGACTGAAGGTAACTGCAGAAGGCCTATATATATATATATATATATATATATATATATATATATATATATATATATATATATATATATATATATATATATATATATTTGCATCGGGGACTTCAATTGGTGGCTTGTAATTGTTGAGTGGCGTGTGTTTGGTTTCGTCAACCAATAGAAATCCAGTTATAAGGTCGCGGGGCTTCATCAGCCAATGGAAATGCAGTTGTATGAGGCTGCGTAAACCTCTCGAATTTCTCCCCCAAGAAATCTAGTCTCAGAAATGTATGGCTGTATTACTGGCTTGTTGCTTGGCTTATCTTGAGCCTGGTAAGAGGCTCCCTCATTGGTCTGTGCTTCTTCGTAACACAATGTTGAGTTTTGGGGTTCTATCACGCAACGTCGACACTCTTGCGTCTGCGTCATGCAACGTCGACACTCTTGCGTCTGCGTCATGCAACGTCGACACTCTTGCGTCTACAACACGCAACGTCGACCTTCTTGCGTCTACATCACAGAACGTCGACCCTCTTGCGTCTACATCACGAAACGTCGACACTCTTGCGTCAACATCACAGAACGTCGACCCTCTTGCGTCTACATCACAGAACGTCGACCCTCTGCGTCGACTTTACCCAGTGTCGACCTTATCTTCTACATCCCTGAATTTCTACTTCTTTATCAAAGCACATTGTACATTGTTTACAATGATGGACTCCGACGTTACATCTTCGTCTCCTCATTGTCCCATTTTCTATTCCTCCTCTTTATCCTTATTCTCATTTACTCTATTTCTTCCCTTGCTCCTCCTGCTTGGTCGTAATGGCTTGGCACTTTCTTTCCTGATTGTTTCCTTCCTTTCGTCTCCTCCCTCTCCATTGAATTCCTCGTCGACTCGTCTTGGAGAAGGGAATCTTGTCGTCAGCGCTGAGACTTAAGATTTCATCGGCAGCTTGTAATTTTCCTGTGTATTATCGGCCTGGGTACTGCCGCTATGCAGGTAATTGGGTCATTGGCTGATAGGACTGCTGCCTACCCTAGTGCTGCCTTCCCTACAGCTGCCTACCCTACAGCTGCCTTCCCTACAGCTGCCTCCCCTACAGCTGTCTCCTCTGCTGCTATGCCTCTACTATCATCTTTACAACTACTACTTTCCTCCAATGCAACTTCTATTATCACTATCTCTACAACTGCTATCTCTGCTGCTACTGTCTCCTCTACTTCAACCTCTGCTACCACTCGATCTACTATAAGTGCTACTGACGTAGATGTAGTAGATCGAGTAGATAGGGCGCGTAGACGTATAATTGACCTCTATTTCTTGTAACCTGCTGTCCATCTTATATTTTAATTCCGAGTGGTCGACTTGTATTTTGGTTTCAATTATTTTCAATCATTCAATCGCCAGCGTCCTGATACGCCATGTTTGAACGCGTGTCTAAAACTGAAAACCTTTTTTTTTGGGAGGTTTTAATCAATCTTTTATATACTCAGAATACCACGTTTTTTTCTTAGAACCTCGACTACTTATAAAGCAAATTGTTTTAGGATGATTTGAAGAATTCAAACAGACATCTGTAAAGTTTTGTTTTGGATTCAAAGTGTTGTTAATCAACGTAATGTTCCATTCAAAAAATAAAAAGGAGTTTGATTTTATAAATATGTGAAATGGTATGTATTAAAATATGAAAATTCTGTGATCTTTTTGCATAATTTCATGTGAATAAAAATGCTCATTCAAAATGTTCTAATAGATTACTCCTCGCTACGTTCTGCTGCTAGTTTAATTTAATATGCACCCCATACCCATCCTGTGATTGGTAGGGGATTCTGTACCCATCTTGTGATTGGTAGGGGATTCTGTACCCATCCTGTGATTGGTAGGGGATTCTGTACCCATCCTGTGAGTGGTAGTGAATCCATAACCATCCTGTGAATGGTAGTGGATCCTATACCCATCCTGTGAATGGTAGTGAATCCCTTAACCATCCTGTGAGTGGTAGTAAATCCCATAACCATCCTGTGAGTGGTAGTGGATCCCATACCAATCCTGTGAGTGGTAGTGGATCCCATACCAATCCTGTGAGTGGTAGTGGATCCCATACCAATCCTCTGAGTGGTAGTGGATCCCATACCAATCCTGTGAGTGGTAGTGGATCCCATACCAATCCTCTGAGTGGTAGTGGATCCCATACCAATCCTCTGAGTGGTAGTAAATCCCATACCAATCCTCTGAGTGGTAGTGAATCCCATACCAATCCTCTGAGTAGTAGTGGATCCCATACCAATCCTCTGAGTAGTAGTGGATCCCATACCAATCCTCTGAGTGGTAGTGGATCCCATACCAATCCTGTGAGTGGTAGTGGATCCCATACCAATCCTCTGAGTGGTAGTGGATCCCATACCAATCCTCTGAGTGGTAGTGGATCCCATACCAATCCTCTGAGTGATAGTGGATCCCATACCAATCCTCTGAATGGAAGTCGGAATGGCCACAGACTCACGACTCGGGAACTGAACACTTAATATTCGTTTACCTAAGGAATCAACATCATTGATGAGCAAATTAGTTTATTAACGTGCTCATCGTATACATCAAGAGACTGTTCACAACTTTGGTTAATTTTAACTAATAAAATGCTCAGGAAACAAAGCCCCAATGTTACGTAGGCTGAGCCTTTTGTATTTGGGAATACAAGTTATCAAGATGTATATATGTCATCTGAGATACAGTTACAAGGGCTGTAATTTAGAGGCCTTGCTGGAGCTACGGTTGGTTGATACCTGGTTGATGGGGTTCTGGGAGTTCTTCTACTCCCCAAGCCCGGCCCGAGGCCAGGCTTGACTTGTGAGAGTTTGGTCCACCAGGCGTTTGATGATGGTGCGATCAAACGATAGATTTGTAGGCTGCACGCAAATACAATAGGCCTCTATACAATAGGCAGTTTTTGGGAAACCTGGTTAGGATTTGCGGCAATGTCACTCCAGATAAAATACTTTATCTGCCATTTCTGGAACACTATTGATATAATTTTCATTATATTTTGTATCTGTTTCACATTTAATTACACAATGATATAACGATTTCAGTCTATAGGCAAGACAACAGAAATTCTTTCAAGGCGCATGACATTGCACAAACAACAAGGTTCCATTGAAGAACGTATGGTTTCTATACACACTTAGGATACATCTAGCGATGTATCTTAACCAACAACGCCGAAATAACTGACAAATACAACGCTAATTGAAGATTTAGACATCGACGAAGCCCTACATATCAAACCATGTCAAACAACTGTTAACAGCCATCTCACACTTGTCATTCTCAAGACGAAGACACACTAGACCAATCTCACACTGCTCCAGCCTGCATAATACCATAAGACTTAAGGAACTGCAGGTCTATTGGCCCATACGTCATACTTCTTCACATCACCTTATTTTGCATCCACCAGTTGCCTTTGAAAATGTTGACAGGATCAGCGAAACATCAGCATTAACGTCAAGCCGTATGACACTGCGAAGTGAACTTTGCTGAGTTAATGTTTCAACTTCTCAAGTAAAGAAGAACAGGAGAAATATAGTGAAGATTTGAGCTAAAATCTTACCCTTTTCTCTTTTCTATCATAGTCAATAACACACACACACACACACATACACACACACACATACACACACACACACACACACACACACACACACACACACACACACACACACACACACACACACACACACACACACACACACACACACATACACACACACACAAACATACCCACACACATATCTCACACGGACCGGTTTGTAACGGTTAACTAGGAGAGGGGGGGTGGGCAGTGTGGAGGGAGGGGGAGAGAGGGGGAGAGGGGTGGGGGGGAATGAATGCAGGTGAAGGGGGGGGGAGGGGGAGAGGGAGGGCAAGTCAGTGGTCCAGAAGACAGGTTTACAACCTCAAGGTGATCCTGCACCATATTTTTTCACGGGGAGAGTAGGGCCGAGGGGGGGGGGGTACGGACCGGAGGACAAGTGAGAATGAGAGTGAGGGGTGAGAGTGAGAGTGGGCACCCAGCTACGTACAGTACGGTACGGTACGTCCACTGTGTACGGTACGTCCACTGCTCCACTAGCTAGTGGTGTTCCCCCCCCTCCCCCCACTAGTGATGTACCCCAATGATGAGTATTGCAACTTGTACCACTTCAACTAATTACTATCCCAGTTACAACTATTAACGATAATACTATCAATATTAAGAATTAGTACTTAGAATTAGTACTTAGAATTAGTCAAACTATTTGTCAAAAATTATTTTCACAAGATTCCCCCAACATTGCACCCGCCAGATAGCGTACTTCTGAGACTTGGTAAATGTTAAATCACCTCATTTGACGATCTATTCACCTGAGACAATTGAGTCAACACCAGCTGCGTTTGGGGTACAAGTAACAGGATGAACTACCCACTGAGTTTACCTCATATTGGGAGGTTCTCTGCTAATATAACGGCAAGTTTACTCGTAGGATGAAGGACGTTGCTTTATAGATTCGCCCTTTTTGGCAGAATTTAAACAAAAAGTAATAATTATTATTTACCATAATCTAGTGAGAATTATTGCGTATTTTTTAAAACCACGAAAAATGGATAAGCGTATGCAAATTATCGATAATATTTTGGGATTAAATGCTTCAATATTTTAGCTGATAAGACACGGAAAACGCCTGTATGATGCGAGACGATCAAACACGCGACTATTTAATTCACCTTATGTAAGGCTGTTAACTTTACCGACGTCCTTCTAGGCAAACTGCTAATGACCTTTCCCAGGATGCAACCCACAGCAGATGTCTAACTCTAGGGCACCTATTTACTGGTAGGTGAACAGTCGCATCACGTGAAAGGAAAAAACATTACTCAAACCCTTGCTATAATCGAACCTGGAGCCTTAAATGACCCGACTACACTTGCCCCTGCGCCACGAGACTCGTATGCACGAAGTTTTTTTTGCATTTGGCGTCTTAGAGCACAAGACAGGAACCTCAAGGACACCGAGAAATATCGGGGTAAGGCCGAGTGTGTGTGCGGAAACGCCTAGCGAAGGAGGGTGGTTATCTTGGTTATCTTAAGATGATTTCGGGGCTTTTTTAGTGTCCCCGCGGCCAAGTCCTCGACCAGGCCTCCACCCCCAGGAAGCAGCCCGTGACAGCTGACTAACACCCAGGTACCTGTTTTACTGCTAGGTAACAGGGGCATAGGGTGAAAGAAACTCTGCCCATTGTTTCCCGCCGGCGCCTGGGATCGAACCCAGGACCACAGGATCACAAGTCCAGCGTGCTGTCCGCTCGGCCGACCGGCTCAGGACGGGAGGGAGGTTGGGGCAAAATGTACACAAACACCACCATGTTGTGATGACGGCGCCTGACTCGTCTGGACGCTGGCGGGAAAACAAAAACAAAAAACGGAAATTTTGGGAACGGCTAAAATTCCTTGCTGAAACGCAAGCCCCGACTCAAATATTGTGGAATCGGAACTGTTTGGCTTCGAGTCACCTCACTGCCTAGTTGCTTGGGTTTTAATACTAAGATTCCATTGAATTTCAGTCGCATGTTAGTGGTTTGATATGTGCGGCGTTGTAGAGAACTGCAAATTTTAATGCAAGCGAGGGATGTTGTTGTTGTCGTTGATTTAGGGGCGACGACGATCGTGGGATCGGATGCGCCCCGGCGTACCCGTGATGGGTTCATCGCGAAGCCCGAAAAGGTGAAACGCCAAGCCTAATCGCGAAATGAGTGACGCCAATCACTTGAAGCTAATATGCCATGCGGCAAAGAAACACAAACGGGTAGATGATTGGAGAGCCCCAGGAGTTCCCCAGGGTGACAAGCACCAGCCCCGCCCCACACAGAGAACACCAGGTAGTAAAACCAAAAACTCGCCCCCCAACTAAAATGCAAAAGTCATCCAGTGCCCCCCAGCAGAGCAGAAGCCAGCCGCCCACCACGGCTGAGGGTACACCAGGACCCCACCTAGACCCACCAACCCCCGGCACCTCTCGGCCAAGCCGGCCCCCCCACACACCGTCACCCCGCCGGGAGAACCAGCCAGAACACGTAGAAAAAAATCTATCAACAATCCCATGACCTAAAGCGATATGTGCGCCAGGCGTCGTATAACCGGACCGTTGAAGAGGGATGCCAAACGGCAGTAGCAAAGCCAAAACGCGAAAACGGGACGTGAATCGGCGGCTCCCAGGCGGTGGAGGAGGTTGTTGTTGTTGTTTTAGATTCAGCTACTGTGAACAAAAAGTTCCAAGTAGCACGGCCCCGTCCTGAGCCCGTAGTGGACTTACCTGGCACAGGAGCGAGGCTGTAACTTGTAGAGGTGTCCAGACGTCCGCTCGTTGTCAAGGTTGAACCAGGAGTCCCCGAAGCGAGGGATGGTACGTTTATAATCTCTGTGAGATTAAAGTATTTTCTTGGGGGTTCCTTGTTCTTCGGTTTCTATGACTATTTCTTTCCGGTGGAACAGAATTTTTGTCTTCTATTTTCCTCGTTGGGTTTCTCGGTTCCTCTTCTTCATTCTCATACTTTTTTCACGTCCTCTCGTTCTCAATGCTCTTCTTTTGGTTCTGTGCCGAAGGTGGTATTTTAACTTAACATACGAGGCCTGGTATTCCAGCACTCGTTGATTTAGGCACAGTTCCGCAACGTCTGGCTAGTTTTCTTAAGTGTACCATGGTTTTAAAATTTTCTTTGACTGTTTTCTCTACTGATCTTTAGTGTAAGGGGTAACCTGTCTATATCTATTCCGGCCGCTTCAAGGTTGGACCATCAGTAACTGATCTTATCAACAAATGCCAAATGGTCGTTAATCCAGCCGCTAATCCCCCCCATCCCCTATTTATAAATGAAAAATGCTTTACACACGGCTCACAAGTGATGAGGTTAGAACTTATAAATATTTATAAGTTATATATTATATATTATATTTATTGGGATATATAAATAAATAAATAAATAAATAAATAAATAAATAAATAAATAAATAATAAATAAAATCAATTTACTGCTCCCTGTCTAGTTCAAGATGACGTGTTGGAGAGCCGCGCTGGAAACTGAACACCAATAGTTTAACTCGAGTTGATTTTCTGATATTTTATATTATTTTGTCTGACATTTTATCTTAATATACCTTGCAGTTCTTTTTTTTTGCGGGCCCTAAGCATGTGGCTGGCCCACTACAGCACCTTGTAGTTATACATTGTGAAAGCGGTCAGTTGGGAACAATTTATTTATTTATTTATTTATTTATATACAAGAAGGTACATTGGGTTTGTGAGAATACATAGCATAGTACAGTATTTATAATCTTGTAAAGCCACTAGTACGCGCAGCGTTTCGGGTAGTTATCCCGATATCAAATATCAATTATTATCAAATTATTTGTTTTATTATTTTGTCGATACCTATTTTAAATTAGTTTTGAGCCACTACTCCGGCAGCACTTCAGTACAGGTTCCCATTTTGGGCCTGGACGAGGAAGCCAGAGGAAGGACCAACATCCACATACCGCAAATAAAAATTAGGAGCGCAAAAGTAGCCTAAACTACTTTATCCTTTTGAGATGTATTTTATTCTCAATAAACGTATTTGAACTTAAAATTATTGACAATAGACCCAACAAATCTGACCCAACATACCCATGGCATAACTATACGTGGAATTATGATATACATTTATATCAATTTATATTAGAGAAGATAGATTTTGGTTACACAGCCTCTTCAAATTTAGGATGATTCCTTGGGACCGATCACAGTTCAGACAAGCTAATGTCTAATTCATCCCATCCCATCCTCCGGTGAATGCAAATAAATGTCAACTGAACTCAAATGCTAAATCTATCCTACCTTACGCCTAAATATAGGCAATTAAAATGTATCCAAGTGAAAATACCATCCCATTTAGTTATGAAAATACCATCCTATATTATTCGATTTAAAATGATGAATGCGCTCTTATGGGTCGTTGAGACCAACAGAGCCTGATGATTGGTTGAGTCTCCCTAGGCTGAGTCTGTCCAACTGTTTGATGACTTGATTGGTAGAGATTGATTGGTAGAGATTGATACTGAACAACGACTAGTCGTTTATATTGAATAAGCCTTCTGCAGCACAGGTATGTCTTTATCTCTCTTTTTTCAGTCGTTAAGCAAGTTCTTCCAAAAGAAGCTGTGTATATGTTTCTTAACCTATAATAGACTAAGCTTATCTATTTGTCGTGTGTTGCATCATTTTATGGAATAAATTCCTACATCTCTTCTAAGAGCCTTTGATTTATTTAATTAATGAGGAGAGGTTTATTATTTAGAACATGATACAGAACGCTAATATTTCCCACTTACTGTATTATTGTATAAATAAACACTGTGTAGAGATGTAAATGTAATGGGAAGTGACCGTACTGTTGAATAATGTATATTGTTGAAGTGTGAGTTTTATTTTATGTATTTATGGAAGTTTCTTGGTTTCTCATGTGTCTGTCTGTCTCTCTCTCTCTCTCACCAAACATGTTCGTATCATAGACGCAACCACCCTTACCTTCCACCCTTCCCTTTCCCCTTCCCTTCTCCCTCTTCTCTTCTCCCTCTTCCCTTCTCCCTCTTCCCTTCTCCCTCTTCCCTTCTCCCTCTTCCCTTCCCTTCTCCTGCTCCCCAATCGTCGTTCGTGATATGCCACAAAACGGAAGAGAAAACTGCCCTTCATCAAAGCCAGACAGAGAGATCAGAACAACAAGATATAGCACGACTAGGGACACACAGGGATGTCACAACATGGACCGCTCGTACACAAACATCCTTGTACCTCATCTCGAAACGGCGGAATCATCCTTACCATGTTTAACCTTAAGTAATCGAGTCTTCTTGACGAAGCTACAATGTAATATATATATATATATATATATATATATATATATATATATATATATATATATATATATATATATATATATATATATATATATATATATATTCGTCTTATGTGTCCCGGCATTTCGTATCATGTATTCACCTAGTTGTGCTTGCAGAGGTTGAGCTCTGGCTCTTTGGTCCCGCCTCTCAACTGTCAATTAACTGGTGTACAGAATCCTGAGCCTACTGGGCTCTATCATATATACATTTGAAACTGTGTATGGAGTCAGCCTCCACCACATCACTGCCTAATGCATTCTATCTGTTAACTACTCTGACACTGAAAAAGTTCTTTCTAACGTCCCTGTGGCTCATTTGGGTACTCAGTTTCCACCTGTGTCCCTCTGTTCGCGTACCAGCCGCGTTAAACAGTTTATCCTTATCTACCCTGTCAATTCCTCTGAGAATTTTGTAGGTGGTGATCATGTCTCCACTTACTCTTCTGTCTTCCAATGTCGTGAGGTGCATTTCACGCAGCCTTTCCGCGTAACTCATACCTCTTAGTTCTGGGACTAGCCTAGTGGCATGCCTCTGAACTTTTTCCATCTTCGTCTTGTGCTTGACAAGATATGGGCTCCATGCTGGGGCCGCATACTCCAGGATTGGTCTTACATATGTGGTAAACAAGTTTCTGAATGATTCCTTACACAGGTTCCTGAAGGCTGTTCTGATATTAGCCAGCCTCGCATACGCCGCAGATGTTATTCTTTTGATGTGGGATTTAGGTGACAGGTTTTTTGTGATATCAACTCCTAGATCTTTCTCTCTGTCCGTTTCGTGAAGGATCCTGGTCTACGAAAGATCCTTCCTTCATGAAGGATCCTGGATCCATGTGACTACGTTCGTAGTCACTATACGAGTGAGTTCGTAGTTGCAGTACGAACGCAGTCAACCAGTCAACCGTCCTGGTTGACTGGTTGACGACAGAGCACCTAGGAGGGACCAGGATGAAGGGTGAAGGTTAATATATATATTATATACTGTTATATTGATGTTATATATATTATATATATATTATATATATATTATATGTTATATATATTATATATTGAAGGGCCTTGTACCATAATGAGGCAGCGAGACATCTTCACAGAGGAAGTCAAAAACATTACCAAATTGCGTAAATAATTAGTGGAGGAAGATGAATATAAAACGTATTTCAAAATAGATGCAATAAAACTCAAATCTTAGGATTCAAAAACACCAGTGTGCTGAATGTGGAGAGACGATCAAACACAGGAGCCCTCCACTCGGCAGCAGAGAATGTGTATCCATGGACACCCACACCCACACACCCGGTCATATATGGGCCACAAGCACGTCTTAACCAAGGTTATATATTCTCCTGAAGCCTCAACCACCTCCCTCCATCACCACCAGAATCCTCACACACATTAATGATGACTGTGAACTTTCGCGGTACAATGTCCACCTCGCGCTCCCTGGCCGGCCTCCGGGGCTTTTTAATGGCGTTTCATTGTGGGTTTGAAAGCCGCGTTGACAACACACACACACACGCGCAGGTGGAAGACCTTCCAGGATAAAGGTAGCGTCTATTGCCTACTAGTTAAACTGTATCATCACGTCTTACAGCTTATCGTGAGGTGGTATAGTTCATTTGAAGCTAGCGGATCCCCCACACTGAGATCGGCGGTGCCTCTAGCACAGCATAAATAACTCACTTGGCATCGAAGACTTTAAACTGATCGACTGTAAGTGATACAGAAGAGCAAGAGGTAGAGTTTTCGCCAGGAATACTTCATTTAATGTTGCCGAATTAGTTTTATTATGAGGGAATACTGCTAAAGCCAGTTTGACTATTATAGTACACGGAAGGGATGTGAGGACGCGGAGCTGGGATAGGATTAGTCAAGGAGTAGTGACTATCCACTTGGACCATCGGGGATTGAACACCAGCACTACGAGCAGCAGGGCCTTCTCTTCGTCCAAGTGGATGGACGATTAACTTATAAAATGATTGATATTTTTGCCTAACTAGTCCTCAAAGGCCTTCAGTTCAGTGTTAATGTTCAATAAAAGACTAGATGTTCATAATTCTGGTATGGTGAAATTAATGACATTATTGAATATACAAATTAATAATATACATAATAGCCCAAGGTTAGTTTTTGCTCCATTGGAAATTATTTGGGATTAAAATTCACAGGTGAAGAAATTCGAAAAGTGAAAAAAAGTATTTTCGAAAAAAGATTCGAGCAGATCAGTTGAGTCAGCCAGTACTTAAACTATGTCCTCCATGCTACACCAGTCCCCAAAGATGCACAAGCCAGTTTTAACTTATTGTGCTAAAACTGACATTCGGTGTTATGGGTCTTTTGGCAATTATTTACACTTGCAATACGTTTGTGGAGCATTTAGAGAGGTGCGACTCGAACGCAAGAAAAGATCAAAGCGCTGTTCAAGAAAAGATTGAAGGTTCTCTGTTGAGTGTCGCCTGTAACAGCCTGCAGCCCTTCCTCATATGCAAAGGTCAAATGTTCGTTAATCCGGCTATCAAACCACGTGTTGATGAATGATAAGATGTTGCACGACTCAGAACTAAAGCTCGAACTGTTCTCGATCATTGCTTCGTACTCTAAATGCTTCATCCACGTACTTGAACACAAATAATTCCCAACAGAACCTAACCGACTAACCTCTACTTAACTTGCATAAAATGTTAATATGTAACAATATTAAATTAAAATCGAGAAAATGTAGTTTTTGAAGACACGATATGTTAGAAATTTGTGACTGCGCCTGGGGTTCGTCTTCTACATTCACAGTCGATTAAGGCGCGTCTCTGATCCTCTCGGACGTAGGTTCGAATCTTCATCACGACCCTTGTGAATTTGTTCATTTGATGCATCACGCTATTGTGTTTTCCGTATATAGCGGTGATCAATCACTGGAAGAGAAAATGGAATTGTTGTCCTTCCAGCATGGGTAGTTGGAGGTGGACAGTGTGGGTGGTTATGGCGGCGTGTTGTGGTGCGACTCTCGGCGTGTGGGTGGACGAGGAGCTCAAGCTTCCCCACTTAGAGCACAGGGCTCTCTTGGACCAGGACGGCGCCTACGTAATGCTGTGGACGCCCAGAGAGAAGGATGTCGTATTCGAAGTTCAGGTTAGTCTCGTCATTGTTGTGTTGACGTGTCCGCTAGTTGGTTGGTTAGTTTAATAACCAGACCACACTCTAGAATGTGAAGGGACGACGACGTTTCGGTCCGTCCTGGACCATTCACAAGCCACTTGAGAATGGTCCAAGACGGACGGAAACGTCGTCGTCCCTTCACCTTCTAGTGTGTGGTCTGGTCAACATACTTTAGCCACGTTATTGTGACTCCTCGTCTGCATTTCAACTGTCTAGTTTTGCACAAGAGGTGACCTTATATCATTAAAGCTTATCCAGGCTTAAATAAGCATAGAAATGTACATATCCTGTATAACGATTATAATGTATTAATCATTAGCTCATACATATGTATTTAGGAACGGTTATGTACTAGGATAGTTAGCTTGGCTTTGCGCCCTGGAGAGGCGGCTTCAGACCAACAACCGTAGCGCAACTCCATGGTCTCCTGAGACTGGTGGATGCCTCCTACTATGAACTAGAAACACTAACAAGAGCAGAAGAGTAATATTATTCGTATGTATCCCCCATGACGTTCTCGATGGCGGCGCTGCAGGTGGCGACGCGTGGGTACGTTGGCTTGGGGTTCTCTCCCAGCGGAGGCATGCAGGGAGCAGACATCATCCTGGGCTGGATCTGTGACAAAGGCCATGTCTTCCTCTACGTGAGTCACTCTGTTGTTGTTGATGTTGCTTTTGGTCGCTGTTAAGGTGGGTACACGCAGCCATTGCGCAGTCGTCTCTCAACTGTTTGCTACTGGTTCGATTCCCGGACAATCGGAGATGCTACCCCACATTCCTACAGTAATATTTAAGTACCTAGGAGTTAGTTGACTGTTGTGGGTAGCATCCTGGTGAAACGGTAATCTGGTTATGGGACCTCGGTAAGGCTATTAGTCTTCCTGTTTCCAACAACGTGAATTTAGTTTATGTGGTAGGGAAAATTTGTATGGGTAAATGGTAGTGAGTTAAGGGAGAGGTCGCTTCTTCAAGCACATCTAGGCCAGTACACACACACTCCCTCTCATAGATTGATTTGCTATTGTCGGGGACAGGAAGCCTGATGGGGTTGAAGAGGTCCTCCTTGGCCAACGATCGACCTTTCCCAGGATACAACTCAAGACAGTTGACTAACTTAAGGTACCTATTTACTGCTAAGTGAGCAGAGGCAGTCTCAATCCAAATATTATCCATCCTACTGGGAATTGATCAGGGGACTTTCAGGTTATGATGAAACTACAACCTGTCGGGATAGGCCTATAGTGTTGTGTGTAAATGCATATGCCCGTAGGCCTAAATTAGTAATGGTTCTCATGTTGGGTAAACTTGTGCGATCATAAGCCTTGTAGAGTAATGATGACTAGATGGGTTCCATTCTTCGCTATACATTAAAACAATGCACATCAAAATTGTTGTTATAGCATCAGCTACCCTGGACAAAAGTTCGAGGTAGCACAGGCTATGGTGAGCCCGGACACGTCCGCCAACCCGTCCTCTTAAAAATAACGTCACTTTCGAGCTGCCAGATTCGGATGCTTATTCTACCAAACGAGTCATAAATACTCATACTCCGCCCAAGTAAAGCAGAAACAAGCAACACTTAGCGGGCCAGCCAGAGGCTTAGGGCCCGCGCAGGAATATCCCTGCAAACAAAAAAATTCTATAAATAATTTTTGCCCCAAATGTACATAAAATAAATAAATGAAATAAATATTTATTTTGGTAAGGTACACACATACAAGAGATTTTTACAAATATTGGTGGACTTATAGATAGAGCTAGTACATACAATGCCTAAAGCCACTATTACGCAAAGCGTTTCGGACATTACATGCAGTAATACACACAGGGATATTTTTGGCAGTTGCTTGAGATATGATGTGTAGTCATAAACACAATCTTACTGAGCTATGAATACTCCCTGCTGTTTAAATATGAATATATGTCAGAATTTAAAGACACAAATGAAGGGTATTATGATATCGCGTGAAAGAAAACGGACTAAAAACTCTAACACTTCAGAAAAAGAACTGAATACTCTTAATATGTCGTTCAAACTTATTTCGTTATTTTTATTTTTTTCCCATTATGTAAACATTTAATTTTGACATGGACCGAAAGGCAATGAAATGCAACACGTTGCATGACCTTCGGGTTATACAATGTGATGAATTCATTTAGAATTAAGAAAATAAGGTAGATATAATAGATCAGAATTGATTAAACTTGAGACATTGGAACATATATTTAAGTGACGTGTACAGCAAATGTGAGCTGAAGATATGTTAGTATGTACTCGCCTAGTTGTGCTTGCGGGGGTTGAGGTTCGGCTCTTTGGTCCCGCCTCTCAACTGTCAATCTACTGGTGTACAGGTTCCTGAGCTTTACGAGCTCTTTCATATCTACATTTGCAACTATGTATGGAGTATACCTCCTCCACATCATTTCCTTGTGCATTCCATTTATTAGCAACTCTGATACTGAGCAAATTATTTCTAATGTATGTGGCTCATTTGGATACTCGGCTTCCACATGTCCCCTTGTGCGTGTACCACCCTTGTTAAATAATCTACCCTTGTCTACCCAGTCAATTCCCCCTAAGAATTTTGTATGTGGTGATCATGTATGTGAGGGAGGAGGGGGAGGGTGTTAACATACTCTCTTACAGGACCTTCTCGAGTAAATTAACTGGCATCCTATCAAAGGATATTCATGGGAGGGGTAACTTGTGTATCCTATCCAACAGGATCTTCATGGAGAAGATAACTTGTGTTTCCTATCCAACAGGATCTTCACGGAGAAGGTAACTGGCATCCTGTCCTCGACGACTCGCAGGACCTGAAGATTCTTGGAGGATACCAGAACGACACCCACACCGTCCTGAGGTTCTCCAGGCTCTGGGACACCTGCGACGACTGGCACGACTTCCATATCACTGTAAGTCGTCTCGACAACCTACAGTCTCTGGGTATAGTGTGATGTATGCTCTCTCTGGATTTGGATACATTTATAGACTAGTTAGATTTTGTTTCTAGGTAAATTAGCAAATTTGTTGAGCATTAGATGATCCTGATTAATTTAATCTTCGATACATTAATCACTCATTAAAAACACAGTGAATTCAATAAATAGTTTGATTTATTTTAGCTGTAAAACCTCTTTTATATACAATATAATGTATAATTTTGGTTTCCATTTGTTGTGATTTTTAATAATTCTCCGTGACGTCGTCTGATTTATTTTCCCGCCTTTTTTTTCCAGGATCTTGCTCTCTAGATTTGCATTTATCTTTCAAATTATCCATGGCCCATTGAAACTTACTATCCACTCTCATCCCAGCCTCCCCCTTTCATCCCAGCTCGGCTCAGCTCATCCCAGTCTCCCACCATCATCCCAGCTCGGCTCAGCTCATCCCAGCTCGCCTCAGCTCATCCCAGCCACCCCCCGTCATCCCAGCTCGGCTCAACTCATCCCAGTTTCCCCCCGTCATCCCAGCTCGCCTCAGCTCATCGCAGCCCTCACTAATGCCCGCACTACTGCCCTTCCCCCGTAGAGCGACACCACTCGCATCATCTGGGCATACGGGCGCGAGGACCCACCTGACGTAGGGAGAGTGGCGATGCATGGACACAGAGGGACCAAGAGCTTGTACCTGCAGGAGCCAAGGTTCTCTCTCCCGGACTTCGGCGACGATGTCTCCGTCTGGAATTTACACGCAAGTAATGTAAGAGTGTGTTTTTTTATTTTCTTGACTAATTTTACCTGAAGGATCGAGTTTCAACTCTTGGTCCCAGTCTTTCCCTTATATCATTCTTATTAAGTTAACTTAAATCTTGCTGAAGCGTTGCCGAAATATATATGTTGTGTAAATGACAAACTGGTTTCGTCCCTAGGTGAGTCTGCCAGACGACTCTGACACGTTGTACTGGTGTAAGCTCTTCAAAGTACCTCCCTTGCGGCGCAAGACTCACGTTATTGGGGTAAGTAGGTGGCGAGTGAGGTGCATTTATCAGGCAATATCTCTTCTGTGAATCCATGGTTATAACTGGTGTCGTCCTATGAACAAATCCACAAGTTCACATCCTATTTTCTCGTGATCCAGAAGCCTTTTTCTTGAAGACATCTTTGTACGTAGCACAAGTAGTTAAGGGTCTCCTGCGCATCTGGGGTTAACCCAGGACGCTGGTTCGAGGTGTACCTCAAGCTAGTGTTCTGAAGACTTTTTCCTGTCGCTCGCAAAGAACATTGACGTTCAACGCACTAATGAAACTTCTCTTCCCTTCCTTCCCTGACCCCACAGTTCGAGCCAGTGATTGAAGCCAGGAACCTGGAACACGTCCACCACATGCTTATCTTCGAGTGCACCCTGGAGGATGCCGCCAGGCATTACGAGAAGTGGCTGCAGGTGAAAGGAGCTCAGTGTTACACCCGCAATATGCCCCTCTCTTGGTTTCACTGTACTGTACCGGTTGTAGCCTGGGCTGTTGGATCTGAGGGTAGGTGGCAGTGATGGGTCTGAGGGTAGGTGACAGGGGATTTTAGCAGACTGCTTTGCAACTATAATTTTTGGGTTATTTGATATTGTTTGAGACAAACTTCTGTGTGAATATTGATGTGGCTGAAAATTTCAGTTGTCTTGGCAATTAAAGTGACAGATGTGGTAAACCAAATATAAATTTTTTAGTTACGAAAATTTCAGGTGAATTATGTCTTTAGGAATTTTCTTTCGGTAATTTTGTTTTAATTTAAATTAAGGTAGATTGGAATAAGGATGACTAGGATTATTTTATTTAAATAGGATCTTTTGTGGGTATTATAATTCTATACGGTGGTTGAAAAGACCTTGGCTGTTGCTAGTGGTGGTGGTGTGAAACTTAAACGGTCATGAATTTGATAAAGAAACCAAAGTTATGAATAATTTATGGATAGCATTAGTAGAATTATAAATGTATGTTGTAGAACTTAAATAACAAGTTATATGAAACCAAAATGAGTGTAATCTTTTATGATGGGCAAGTAGTCTATTGTATAACATGGTCAATGACGCTCGAAGCAATTTAGAACTTAGATTTCGGCTCCCCCTCCGTGGTGTCGTCTTGTCGGGGCGAGGGACTCGCCTGCCAAGTAGGAAGGGTCCTACTTGACAGTAGGACCCTTCCGCCCTCTATAATTCTTGCCAGAGCCATATGCTCCGTTCAGGAGTACATTCCCTCTCCTCGGCTCTGTAATAGGTGCTGAAAGTTCGGGCATGGTGCCCTCAGATGCTCCAGTGCTGAGTCTCTATGTCCCATGTGTGGGGACGATGGTCACTCTTAAGTCAGAGTGCTCTTCTCCTCCCAGGCTCGCTGCCTCAATTGCGGTGAGGCCCATCTTACCTTCTCCCGCGCGTGTACATGCTACAAACTTGAGGAAGCCGTCCTCAACTTGAAACACAGGGATCGTTTGTCTTTTTTCCTGAGGTGAGACGCCAAGTTCGCCATCTCACCCCTTTCGCTGGCGTATCTTATCTACGCGTGTTGCATTCTTCCTCTCCTCGCCCTTCCCACCTTCCTCAGTCTCTCAACCGTTTCCAGGCCTTAGACCCAGACACGCTCATCGCCTCCTCCCCTGTTTCTTTACGTTATGTCCCGAAGGGTCCCCCGCCTGGTTCTCCATCTAGAGTTTCCCTTCTTCCTACCCAGTCTGCCATGTCCCCCTGTGTCTTCTTTCCCATCTCCCTCCGATCCTCGTTCCCATCCTTCTCCCTCATCTCTTAGCTTCCCACGCCACCTGTCCGTACAGGCTGTTGTTGATCATCCTCCCAGTAATGTTCGTGTTGTTTGCTCCCGTTCTTCTTCTCCTGTTGACGCTTGAGTCTGTCGCCCAGTACGTTGTTGCTGGAACACCTGTCTCCGAGTCAGAAACGTAAGCCTGGCTCCTCTCCTTCATCCTCCCCAGTGGGTAAGAAGGCGTTGATTTCTTCCTCGCCCCCCACCTCTGACTATCGTTCCATCCCCTCCCATTTCGGGGGTCAGGCCCCCTGTCCTTACTATGGAGGTTTCTTTAGCCCCTGATTCACTCTCGGTTTCTGCCCTTGCTGAGGTGCGCTCCCCGGTTTCTGTCCCTCCTCTTCCTGCTGTCCTTGACTGCCCCTCTCGGTTGTCCCCCCCCCCCCTCCTCCTCCTCCTGTCTCTGCCCGTCCGCCTCTGGTCTGTCCTCCCGCTCCCTTCCCTCCATCTTTACTCAGTTTACCCATGCCCCCTAACCCTGACTTCGCTGACCCTGATCCTGATCTTATTTAACATGCTGTGTTTTTTTACCTTTACTTCTTCATTGTTCTCTGTTGCTGTCCTTTCTCTTTTTGACGATATCTATTCTTCAGTGGAATATTCGTGGATTTTATGCCAATTTCCATGAACTCTAACTTCTGATTATACAGTTTTCACAACTTTGTGTCTGTCTCGAGGAGTCGATACTTGGTTCTCGTCCTGGTCACTTTCATGGTTATTCCTTTCTCTTCCCCCGGCTTTTGCTGGGGTCCATAATTACAGGTCTCTTGATTCTTTCTGATATTCCCTTCGTCCCCCTACTTTTTCCATCGCCTATCCAATGTTTTGCTGCCCGTGTCTTTGTGAGTATACGGTTTGTTCCATTTATCTCCCCCCCAAATGTCTTGATTTCTCTTCCTGATCTTAGGCACTTACTGGACTCCTTGCCAGAGCCTGTGCTCCTGTTGGGCGATTTCAACTGTCGACATACCCTCTGGGGTGATGTTCTGATAAACACTCGATCTCTCGAACTGTTTATTCTCTCTTCTTCCCTGTCTCTTCTGAATTCTGGTGAACCCACTCATATGGACTCTCAAACTCGCACCCTTTCCTATCTTGATCTTTCTCTCTGCTTGTCGTCTCTTTACTTAGATTTCGCGTGACGGGTTTTTGATGACCTCCATAAGGGAGCATTTCCCCATCCTTGTTACCTTTTTCTCTTTTCATCCTCCCCTCTCCATCCGTAGTGGCAGTTTGCCAAGGGAGACTGGAACTTCTTCACCCTTCGTGCTACTCTCTCCGACCTCTCCATTCTGCCCCTCCCTGCGCCCTCCTTTTTCATGACAGCGTCTTCGACACTACACTCCGCTCTACCTCCTGAAGCATACGGAAGTGCGTTCCCTGGTGAAATGCGGACTGTGAAACACCGACGCCGGCAGATGGCTGATTCTTTTCTTTTGTTTCGGAAGGCAAGTGCGGTGGCCTGTAAGACCATTCGTACAGCTAAACGTGGGTATTGGAAATCTTATGTTTAACCCATTACATCCGATACTCCTCTGCCGCAGATCTGGAAGAAAATCCGCAAGATAGCGGGTAAGTTCATTACCGACGTCTTGTCAGTCTTTCACCTCGGCGGTACCCTTGTGGTGGACTCAGTGCAGGTCGCGACCGAACTGGGTTCCCACTTTTCAACTGTTAGCTCTGGTTCTCATCTTCCTCAATCTTTCCTTCTTCATAAGCCTGTTTTTAAATTTCTTTCTTTAGATTTTTGCACCCATCTCCAACTTCCCTATAATGATCCCTTCTCTCTCTTTCTCTCTGAACTTAAGTCTATCCTGGGTCTCTGGGGTTCTATGGCAGCGGGCTCAGATGACTTTCATTATGAGATGCTTCGCCATCTCCCTCCATGCACATCTAGGTATTTACTGAGTCTGTATAACCCGGTCTGGGAGTCATCGTCAGTCCCTGAGGACTGGCTCCATGCCATTGTACTTCCTATTCGGAAACTAGGGTCTCTCGGGACATCTCCTAAGCACTTCCACCCCATTGCCCCTCACGGATTGTCTTTGAACGTATTGTCGACGTTCGTCTGATGTGGTTCTTGGATCATTATCACCACCTCTACCCTTCTCTATTTGGTTTCTGCAAGTGCCGCAGCACAACAGATGTCCTGGTGAACTTGGAGGTCTATATTCGTAATGCTTTTGCTGCGAAGACCTCCGTTGTTGCTTTCCTTTTTGACCTAGAAAAGGCTTACAACACCGTCTATAGATATCATATTCTGTCCCAACTTCGTTCTTTTAGCTTTCGTAGTAATCTCCCTCTCTTTCTCCAAGGCTTCCTCTCTCGTCGTTTCTTTGGAGCGAGGCTTGGTGCCACTCTCTCTGCCTCTTCGGCAATACGAAGTTGTACCCCAAGGTAATGATCTGAGCACTACTCTTTTTTCTGGTTGCCCTCAATGGTCTTCTTTCTTCCCTTCCTTCTGGTATTTTCTCTGCTCACTATGTCGACGATCTTACCTTTGCTGTCGGGGTGATGATTTGCCTCTCCTTCAACGGCGGCTTCAACTTGCGATTGATGCCGTGTCGTCTTGGGCCTCCGATCATGGCTTCAAGTTCTTTTGATGTTGTTCACCTTATGTGTTTCTGTTCTCATATTGGCATCCTTAGTGATATTTAACTCCCTATGATTATTCTGCACATTTGATGGTGCTATATAGCCTTCCTGGCTTGGTGCCTTCTTTTGATAATTACTTACTTCGACCTATTTGCTTCAAAATTGGCAGCCTTAGATAGGCATGCGTTCAATATTGTGTAAAAGTTCCATGCAAATTGCCTGATAAAAAGAGAAAAAAAATCATTAAAATTAAAATCCCAAAAATAAGAGAAGTTTTGTTTTATATTTTGATAAAACTAAAGTTTATATCTCTATTAGCTGTTATTGTGATGGCTGAGTGTAATAGAAATGATTTCAGTTGCTCGATAATTTTTTTTTTTTTTTATTGAAGTTTGCCATTTCTTTTTTACCCTCTTATTTAGGTTGCACTGCTGAACCTTGGCCCAGTTGGAGCCCTTTTCATATATAGTCATAAAAATTTGAAATTGAACAACTTTTCAAATGTCTGAGTTTTCGAGAGTATGACGACAACACAGGCAGTAAAGCAAATATGGCCAAAATGCTGCGCGTGCTAGTGGCTGTACAAGAATGTAAGAATTCTTGTATATGCAAATCAATAAAAATTAATAAATGGTGAAAACTTTGGTTATTAATTAATCTAGACGATAAAGAACACAGGGCAAGAAACTTGGTTGACAAGTTACTTGAGGTGATTGGAAAAATTAGCGATAGTGAACTTTATCCTAAGGAATGTGACTTAAACTATATTCCTTCATTGCTTCTATTTCCTCCCTTCTTACAGGAGAGATGTGGCCTGATCACGTGGGCTACCCACTTGGGGAGGAACATGGAGGAACGAATTATTTTATGATGGAGATCCATTACGACAACCCCAAACTTAAGAAAGGTAGGTAGGCAGGCCTAGGCGCCTGCTTTAGGCTTTGGCGAGTTTAGAGAGAAATATGTAACATTTAACATTGTAGGGGACTGACGGATGAATGAAGGCACGAACTTGTTAGCATCTTCCATTCAAGGAATTGTGGCGTGTCTGGGTTGGAGGAGGAGATTATGAGGGTTAAGGAACGCGAGTCAGTGTAAGAAAGGAGAAAGGATTGTTGAGTATTCAGAACATGGCTGAAGCAGAGCTAATAAAACAACAAACCGTACCATTAAACTAGACACCAATGGTATGAGTGAGATGGTAATGGGATGGGTGAGTGCTTAGAAACTTGGAGCCAAGGAACTCGTATTTTGAACAGTAAGCAAAAGGATGAGAACCCAGAGAACAGATCCCAAGAGCTCGAGTGCAACACTTGGCAAATTATTGTTGAAAGTATTTGAAGTCGATGTTGCAGAAATTGATTTTCAATCATGCGAAGTTGCTGCATAGTCTTAAAATACTGGAACATGCTAAAGATTTCAATGCAACCATCCGCTCTGTCCCTCAACACCACCCCAGTTTTCCACACACATCCGTATGGTGTTCGAACCCAGCTGTGTGTAGCTAAAATTCCGGACGCTGCTCCAGATTAAAGCTCGATGGCTGCTTTTCTTTTTATACCCCCTATTGTTAGAAATTGTATCGGGGCCCTCTATGGTGTTAGCAAGTGTGCCCGATTGTCTTCAGGAGTGTGGCGTCATGAGACCTAGTATAGTGTGAGGTGATTCCAGGCCAGGACTCCCATAAGGGGTTTCACCCAGATTGCCTATTATGTTGACCCGAGATACATGCTAGCCATTAGTTATGCAACAGATCCTGTTGATTTTAGACGAAGGAATAGTGATCTTAACCCATTGTAAATTAGTTGGTCATTGGAGGGAGCACAATTGTCATTGTTGAGCGGTGGGAACAGGATATCGGAAAGGCTGTGACCGGTTTGGCCAGAATGGGATAGAGGCTAGTGTGGGGACACTGAGTGAGGAAACCCGGGTGAAGGAGGATAGATTGGATATAGCCTTAAGGCAAAGGGAACTATGTAGTCTTTTGTCATTAGAATTAAATAAAAATCTGTGGATAGTTTTGAATTTTTCTTGAAACTTGATAACTGGTCATTGTTTTTTTTAATTGTTAGTGTATAGGAGTACAGGATATCTTTAAAAACAACTTTTTGGTGTCGCAAATAAACCTTGTGATCTGAGAGCCCTCTATCGCTTACTTATTTTGGATAAAGTCGTCTGTGCCTATGCCTCCATGTAACTATTAATACATAACATTGTTCTAGGTTTTGTGTGGTTTGTCATTTACCTTTTTTGAGTATCCAAACAGGAATAATTTGGTGCATCACTGGTATGCACATTACAAAGTTGTCCTGTAAAATCAGTAGTTACGGGAACTATTTAAAGCGTCTCCTGTGGGTGACAGATGACCCCTGGATCGTGATGATGAGGTTACACTGGGGGAGGTAAACGAGAAGACACTGACGGTGTTAAAGATACTCAAACCCCAGAGGGTGCAAGATGTGGTCATTGAAACTTGTTCAGTTTAAGGTTGTTACTCTGCAAGGGGAGGTTCAGTGAGGTCTCTTTATTCTCAGGTATGTCAGCGTTATGTTACCTCTGTTTATAACTCGTATTACTTTTAATAGGCGTAGTGGACGGGTCTGGCATTCGACTCTACCACACGGAGAAGCTGCGTCAGTATGATTCTGGTGTCTTCTCGGTGGGTCATAGCGTCTCTTCCAGCCATATCATCCCTCCTGGACAAAACTGGAAAACAATTGGCCACTGCTTCAGTGAATGTACCAGACAGGTGAAGAGTTTTTGTCAAAGACAATTTCTAATTGGAGAAAATAATTTTCAAATTTTGTTGGCATTACCCAACAATAAGACATGTTAACATCTCTCTCCAACATAGAGCACAGACTTTTTTGGCCTTTAATGCAAGCGTAATTAAGCAATCTCATGTCAGATCTGAGAGTATTTCAACTAATCGACAGGAAACTAAATCTTACGATCCTTTTTTTTTTTTTTTTTTTTTTTTTTTTTTTTTTTTTTTTTTTTTTTTTTTTTTTTTTTTTTTTTTTTTTTTTTTGAAAGACATGTTGGATGGTTGTTGTTCCAGTTAAGAGACTGCAGAAGTACTAGACAGTCATCTTGGGTACGTTTGTCGTAGGGAACATGGACCTTTTTTTTTTGGGGGGGGGGAGTAAAGAGGAAGGAGAGGCATAGGTGAAGGGAAGTATAGAAGTGGGGAATACAGTGAGAGGTATGAAAGCAGGCGGGCTGTCCGCCTTGCTGACAACACGGACCTATTCCTAGCTGAAGGCTTAGTGGCTATGACGACAGAGGCGTAGTGACACCGACGTACAACAGTCTTCAGTTTGAGGGCTGATGTAAATCTTGCCTTACTAAGTTAGTTTTGTCATGTCTAATGTAACAATAAGTCTTCTCTCTATTTATTTACCCTTTGTAACTTAACCAGTCCTACCCTATGTTACCCAACATTACCTTGCCTAACTAAATGAGCCCTACCCAAGGCAGCTTGGCCCAGCAAAGCATTACATCATTATCAACGTTGACTAGCTGCACCCAATTATTTAATGTGGAAACATAAGGTATGTACAGTAATAGGATTTTAATTTTAAACATACATTTACCAGTATCGATTATCGATATCACTATAGATAGTGTGCAATTTTATTAAGTTTGTAAATGAAAAATAAAGGGTGAGCCAAGGAGGAGGAAGACTTAAAGGCAAGTGAAGGGATGCAAATGGGAGAAAGTTATGAGTGAGGAAGATGGGGAAGAAAAAGGGAATAAGAGATCGACGAGAAAAAATAATAGAATATTAATGGTGGATCTTGAAGGAATATTATACAATCTTCATTTCAAAGTTTCATTAATTTCCCTATCCCTTCAAAATTGCACTGCTGCTGCTGTTGCTGCAGAGTGTGCCTGAAGGAGGGTTGAAGGTGTTCCAAGGGGTCCTGCACGCTCATCTCCTGGGTAGAGACATCACCCTCAGACAAATCCGCAACGGACGGGAACTCCCAGTCAATTTTAAGGGCAAGTTTTTTCTTAGTTTTTGTATATACCTGTATGTGGCAACGGAACATCAACAGTTTGTATGCATGCTAATGACAGTTTTATTGTAATGTTTTGAAATATGTGGAGATCACTGAAACATTGATCAGTACAGTATTTACAACATCCCCACCCCTCATAACATGCCTCCATTGTGAGAGTCTGGACAAGGTATATTTACAAATTTGTCTTTGCCCGGCCAACCACTCTGGTGCTGATGCTTGAGCCAGGTCAGCCCCTCTGGTGCTGACGCTTGCACTGCCTCCCACAGATATGTTTTATGACTTCAACTACCAGCAGAGCAGAGTACTCAAACACGAGATGACGATCCTCAAGGGAGACTCATTTATCATAGAATGTGGCTACGACTCTACCAAGACTACCGTTCCAACTTTTGTGAGTATAACCAGGTCTCCGAGTATAGCTAGGTCACCGTGAAGTAGGAATGCTATCATTTGCATATACCCCATCCATTGGCTCCTATTAACTTGAGCCCATTCTCAGACCAAATTTTTGGTCTGAGAATGGGCTCAATTCTCAGACCAAATTTCCATGAGAATCCACCTGGGTCATGGAAATTCCATTTCCATGAGAATCCACCTGGGTAATTATCTAGATATTTGTGATGACCTGAAAGCATATTACGGTTTCTTTTATAGTCTACATGTAAAGTGGCAAGTGAACCTTTGTCCTAAACAGATCATTCTCAAGTTCTACCTTTATTGTAATATAAATTGTTGGATTAAAATATAAAAGTTTGTGCTGAACACGTTTTATTTACGAATTTGATTTTCTGCAAATGGAATTTGCATGCATACTGAAGTAATTTTAAAAATCCATATTTAAACATTGTATATAGTTAATAATTCACCTTATTAGCGTAACCAAACGTAATGAAACCCAACCTTAACCTAACATAACCATAGAGTAGATAATAGCACAAATTATGTAGCTCTCAATTCATTCCCTTGAGCAGATCTACTCCCTGAGGACATGTGGAGGTTAATCAAGCTGTGAATTGTAAAAGCATTCTCATGTCAATCTCGTTGCCACAGGGTGGGTTAAACACCCGGGAGGAAATGTGCCTGGTGTTTCTCTTCTACTACCCCAAGGCCGCCTTTGACGAATGCAAGTCGGCACCCGAGTATGTAAATCTCCTGAGGACTCTTGGCGTCAGTGAAGTATATGAAAACAGGTCAGGTGATGAGGGGGAAACTGAATACCTGCACATGCAGGTCTTGGGTTTTTTTCTAATTGAAGACCTTTTAGTTAACATAAAAACTGAAGATATATTTAAAATCTTAATATCCTCTTAGAGAAAATTAATTGGAGCATGCAATAATATGGGGGTTCAAACCACAAACCTGTGTATTCGCAGCTGCATGCCTCGTCCCACTTTGAATCCCCTCATTTGTTAAAGCTGTTATATTTCCTTGTGTAATATCTTTGTCATATACTTCCATCCATTTCTATGCCTCTTCTGTCACCCATTGCTCTTGATATTTCTAGTGAATGCAAATTAAATTTTTATAATTTGCAAAATAGTCACAGGGTGATGTACAGTACGAGAAAATCTTCAGAAACAGTGTAGGAATCTGGGGTGACTTGGAATGGAAGCCCCATTCTCTCGCATTGTTCCAAAAATTTCCTTCCTATATATCTTTATATTGGAGGCTCTAAATATCTGGCATTTAATTTATCATTGTGTTTCATTATAGTACTGTATTTTGAAACTTCATATAACCTCCATCCTCGGAGATATTTGTATACAACTTTTGATGAAGAAGTTCAGAGTATTTTTTTAAGTTTGATCCTCTAGTTTGCAGTTGGTCACTTCCTTGTGGCACTTCACCAGTTATCTTCAGTTGTTTGGCTGTTTCGGACAAGGAATCCATTAAAACGGGTATCAAACCTATTTCTATACAATACTAATGCTAAGTAGTCTTCATCTCTGCCTTCAAGGTCTTAACTACGCCCTTCCCGCTATCAGGTTATTATAATCTCCCATGGGCCGTATATCCCCATCCCCCCAGGAGACGGTAAATACTCCCTAGAGGTCTAAATACTTCTATGCCCCCTTCTCTGCAGATTTAGAAGAATTAAGAAATGCTAAATCGAAGTGTCAAAATGTATGAAAATTTGTCTAATGATTATTGGTATTAGTATGGTCAGCACAGTAATTTGACCAGACAATATGATGTAATGTTCGAATTCGCTTTGGCCATAGGCACATCTGGCAGGTTATTGAGGCTGAACAGCTACCAGAATATTCAGGCTGTAAAGTTTTTGACAAACTTTTTAAGGTATTCACTTGCATTCTACATTATACTCAGTGTTATATTCAATGGACCTCCTGGCTTAGTGTACAATATACTAATCACTAATTTATTGAATCTGGTATATTGGAAGACATCCTAACCATTTATCAAATTGCTTCTCCCTTTTTTTTTTTATATTTATGCTGCATCTCATATAAATTCATTCCTGCTTTGTGTGTTTAAATTTCAAATTCATTAAATGAAACTTGTATAAAATTTGTTGTAGCAGATGATTATAACATTGTGAAAAGTGTATTTGCTTTGATCTAAAATCGCACCTATTGGGTTCTGTATGATCCATCTGTGGCAGTGGACATGAGCATCATTCTCGATGGAAAAAGGCCCAACTTAATTGCTCGGATTAGGCTGAATTTTGTATTTTGCCAATAAAGATGTTAATACTCCCAAAATGGTTTAAATAAGAGGCCATGAAACTATTAACTTATGTCAATCGCATTCAACTGATACTCATTTGTTTTTTATTTCCAGGAAGTTGCTAGACATTAACAGGTAAGTAATTTGACTTTTTATCTTGTCATTAGTATAAAGCCACCTTCAGAGTGTCACGGTATTTATCATAGCATTATCTGCAACTATTTCTTGAGGGTTTTTACAAATATTAACACTTAAGGAAATGGGGAAAAGTTTTGTCTTCATCTTCCTTTCCCTCTCATCTTGTAAAGATCTTGGAAAGATCTTGCAAAGACTTATTCCTCTAACAGTTTATCATCGAAGCTAGTTCATATATTCTAAACATAATCAACGTCTGCAATAATGTTGAAGTGTCTAACACCCTTACTATAGATGTTTTGAATATACCACTTAATATTTTACCCCAGTTTAAAGCAGGTTTGACTCAATTTCCATGCTGGTTTAATCCCAATTTTGTACTAATTTTGATTGTTGTGCTAATATAACCCCAGTTTAATAGGAATTTTGCACCAATTCTACAACAATTTTGCAATAATTTTACAGCCATTGTAAATCTGCATAATTTTAATTGTGTTCTCTTGTTTTATAAATGTTTTATGTTAACTACAGTATTTGCTTTTAATAATTAAGTATAATAATAATAATAATAATAATTATATATATATAATATACTGTATATATATTAATAAAGAATATGTTTGTTAATTTTAAAGTTCTGGATATGATACAGATGGGAGAAATTGGATTAGCCAAGACATTGTTTAGGGAGGGAACCACATTTGAAGGAAAGTAATTTTTTTTTCATTTGGGCAAAAATGATATTGTGGACTATGCTTGGATAGTATACCGAGACACCACCACCAACGACTGGTCAGATGCCATCAGGCTGTGTCTATACTGCTATGACCAGTTGTACACAATTTCTCCTTATTCATCAAAAAAAAAAAAAAAATGATCTACACAAGTCAACACTTGTTCTTTAGCAAATGTATAAACCTCTTCTGTACCATTCCTTCACTTTAGCTTGCACCATTAATAATAATAATAATAATAATAATAATAATAATTTATTTAGGAAAAGTACATACATAGTTGCAGAGTTACAGTACAAACATTGTTTGATTTAAAGATAGAGGTAGTACATACAATACCTAAAGCCACTAGTACGCATAGCGTTTCGGGCAAGGAGAGGTGGGAAAAAAACACTTAGACTAAAACTTAATAGTAATTGAGCTTAAAGTATAAATTGCATTGAAAGAAGAAAAAATAAAAGATAAAAAAAGGGGGAACATGGTAGAAAATAGCCAACTATACAAGTTGGTCAACAAACAGCATTTTTTTTAAAATAGTAAGACATGGGTTGACATTTAGAAGTAAGGTAGGTTACATGGAGTTAATTAGGTAGTACTTAGTTTTCATCTTGAACTGGTTGAGAGAGGTACAATCTTTGACATGATTGGGAAGGTCATTCCACATTCTGGGTCCCTTGATTTGTAGAGCATTCCTAGTTTGATTAAGTTGCACTCTTGGAGTATCAAATAGGTATTTGTTTCTGGTGTGGTGCCCATGGGTTCTGTTACAACCTTCTAGGAAGTGTTGAAGGAAAGTGCCAAGCCATTACAACTATATAGCACTGGGAAAGGGGTCAGGGTGAGGATTTGGGATGGGACGGTGGAGGGGAAGGAATCGTGCCCAACCACTTAGGCGGTCAGGGATTGAACGCCGACTTGCATGATGGCAGAACATCACTCTACCGTTCAGCCCAAGTGGTTGGAAACACTGACGAAATTGCCAACTAGGCCTGATGAGACCGGGTTCCGGGGGATATTGATCCTCGGAATCACTGCAAGATGCCTTGCCCCGACTGTCATATATACACTTCTTCCACAGTATTTCACTACCTATTCTGTAACATTATTGTTCTACAATATTTATAAAAATTTCTTTCTACTTCAATTTATAAATGTGTCCAACCAGTTTACACCTGTAATAAAAATATACTACAAATTTGAACAAATTCTGAACCTGCTGTACAGTAATTTTACACCTGTTTTATAATGTTCTCCTTAGAAAGCTAAAAATTGACGAAGAGAGAGAGAAAAAAGAGGCTGCGAAGATGATTGAAGGCTTCACCTCCCCGCATGAACCACTCACGATGTCCCACCAGTACCAAGCCATCATAGCCAAAGAACCTGCTGGTGGGTGACTTTCTTTAAAGTTTCACTGTGATGTTCATGTAAAAAAATCAGGTGCCAATGACCATTCCATGGAAAAGCTAAAATATGGATGGTCATTGTCTTGGTTTACAGTACTACTACATTTGTTCCTAGTATTTTTGTATTTTCTTGTCTGTAAATTCGTGTCTAATTAGTGGTTTCTGTTAATTGCATTCTGTTTCTCTTATTTTCTCTCTCATGCTTTCTCGTTCCCCTAGTGACTTATAAACCATTGAGTGGTTGATGTGAGATGTGCCAAGAGTGTGGAGTCTTCTGGCACTTGGGGATGTTTAAAAGAGCGTGTAAGTGCCGGGAGATGTGGCGGCACTACAGACAATGCCACTGTAATGAGACATTATTTATTGCTATCCTTTATTAAACATTGCATGAATTTGAGCTTTCTACTGATATTAAAAATAAGATTATATCTGAAGTACAATAATAATAGTTTTAGGATACTAAAACAGTCAGATAAAACTGTCGGATAATAATTTGTAACAATTTATATTTCAAAGAGTAAAGAGCTCTGTTTGTTGTTTAATTAAAATTTCAATATAAAAAAAATCACTGAATGATATTCCTATGGTGATATTTCCACTGGACAGTTACAGAGTAGCTCTATTTAATTTAATATACCCTGTATTTGAACCAGTATTTTGTCTTTAACGTAAAATATTCTTGTTTTATGTTTCCATGTTGCTGGCAGCGGTTCGCAACATGTCCGTGTATGACATCCTTCACAGCAATGCCACCTGGCAAAATGCCACACTCCTGAAGTCGCTTCAGCAGCAAGTGATATACGGACCACATGAAATGAGATGCATCACGATACTTGGAAGGGACAAATATGTAAGTTATATGTTGAAACAGAATACTAATGGTTGACTGGATGTTGTACTAGGTTGGATATCCGGCAGTGCAGCGGGTAGACACTGTGAGTGGGTTCTTTTCCCAATGCTTAGGTTGACCTGACACCATTCTACCTGATTTGATATCTCATTGAAATATACATGAATGAGAGAGCTATTTTTATAATTTATTATATACATAGCAAATGTAATAGGAACGTATGTCAATACATAAGAATTATCACCCATACCTCCCTTCCTGCCAGGGGTGCCAAGTGATTCCCTGCCTCCAGAGTCAGTTGTAATGATTGGGTGTGGAGAGGTGGCAGTTATGATGGTTGGTGAGTGTTGATGACATCACACAGATGTTGGTCTAGATTGCAGGCCAAAGTATGAAAGAATTTGTGGACACAGAGCATATTGATCTGAAATATACCAAGAACAAAATTGGAATGTATTGGAGACATAAAGCTATAGTGAGAATTGTTGGGTTGGGGGGGGGGTTGCTTGCTTTTGCACAAGATAGTGGCACTAGTTACGCTAGTCCTGACCTTTCCCCCCCCTATTGGGTCGACGGGGCTAGCCCTGACCTGCCCCCAGTTGGGTCGATGGGGCTAGCTCTGATCTGCCCCCGGTTGGGTCGAAGGAGCTAGCCCTGATCTGCCCCCGGTTGGGTCGAAGGAGCTAGCCCTGATCTGCCCTCAGTTGGGTCGACGGGGCTAGCCCTGATCTGCCCAACAGCAGTTTGTTAAAAATTGGAATCGGTTTATCTCCCAGTGTTGGGCCTCCAGCTTGAGACAGTTGTATTCATACATGCTTTAGCTCTTGGCACTCATTCCCTCCATTCTCTACTGATTTAGGCAGGAGTTTCTTAATCCTCTGTGCTATCTCATATTTATACATGTGTATGGAGTCTTCATTCACCGCTTTGCTTCTTAGAACATTCCATGTTACAATTTTGATACAAAAGTTCTTAGTGCCTTTGGCTTAAAAGATTACTGAATTACTGTCCAATTATGAAAAGTCAGTCGTTGTCGATCCTTGTATATTTTCTACATCGTGATAGTGCATCCCTTCCTCTATTTCTACAATGACATAATTGATTCGCTCATGTAACCCTCGACTCCGGAACTAGTATTATGAAGGTTAAGATATTGATTGTCTCCTGCTTTGGTTGAATTTAACAAAGTAAGGTCTCCTCCTACAAAGGATTGCCTAATGTGTCATACTATTCATTATGAATGGCATTTTACGTCGAATCTATGCGCTGAGTATTCACTATTGTCTGAGGCGTGTGTGTGGTTAAGGTTTGAATCCTCAGCATGGCTGCTACGGATTTTCTCATTATATTTAATAGAAATATTTATATTAATGACTAAAGACTGGTTCATATGACTTTATTCATAACAGAAATCTAAATAAACGTTAAACATCCACACAGGATTGGCCACACCTTTGCTAATCCAGCATACTAACCTTTATTTAATGCATTTTTTCCAGGTTTCTGAAGTTCAAAGCTACCCAGAGTTCTTGGCCATTCAGCCCTTGAAGCCGGAGTGTGCGGTCAAGGGAAGATCTCGGCCCACAGAGAAGGAGCAGGCTCGGCGACCTGGCCCAGACTCAGAGGCTTATACTGTGGAGCCTGAACCCTTCTGGACGCAGACCAACTACCAGAAACCCCATGGAAAGAGTAAGTTTAAAGGATTTAAAGTTGTGTAATTATATATATATAAATTTTTTAGTGTATTATTTAATGTACAGTGGTACCTCAGTTTGAGTTTAACCCGTTCCTGGAGACAGCTCGTATTCCGAAAACTCGTAATCCGAAGCTAATTTCCCCATAAGAAATAATTGGAAATGAATTAATCCATTCCTGACTACCCCAAAACCTCACTTCAAACTAAATTTTATACCTAATTCATCTAAATAAACCTACGAAACTATGTTCAAGTTATTACTTACCCTTGCTGATGAATGCTGTAGGCGTATGGAAGATGGTGAGGATGGGGGTTGAAGGAGAGGTGTTACTGTTTGGAAGGGGAGTCCCCTTCCATTGTAACATCAGGCAGTGAGGACCTTTCTGGGGTGCACTCCCTGGCACGTTTTGCCTGCATACCACTAGGTCCTGGTTGTGGCTCACTGCTCGATTTTCTCACAACAAATCTGTCCATGGAAGCTAGTTTTACCCTTCTTTGCAAGCTGTCTCTGTAGTAAGGCATCACATTGTCATTGAAAAGATTAAGGCAACGGCCTACTACAGCTTTCTCTGGGTGAGTCTTTTCAATAAAAGTTTGCTTCTCTTCCCACATCTGACACCACTTCTTAATGTCTGCAGAAGGGACATTCTGTACTGCCTCCTCCTCCTCCACTGGAGAAACATCCTCAGCTGTGTCTTCTTGCTGTTCCTTTTGAAGGGCTTGGAGTTCTTCGGTGGTCAGTTCTTCGTTGTGTTCTTCCACCAACTTCTCCACATCATCACTATCCAATTCCAAGCCCATTTGCCGGCCCAGAGTAACAATTTCCTCAACAATAGGCGCATCATTTACAGGCTCAAACCCCTCAAAGTCTATTTCTGTCACAGATTCAGGCCACAATTTTCTCCAGCCAGAGATCAGGGTTCTTTGAGTCACTTCTTGCCAGGCTTTGTCAACGAGTTTTAAAGCACTACAAATGTTAAAATGGTCTTTCCAGAACTCTTTGAGAGTGAGGTTTGTGGCTTCAGTCACTTCAAAACATTTCTGGAAAAGTGCCCTTTCTTAAAGTTTCTTATAATTTGCTATGCTTTTCTGGTCCATAGGTTGAATTAGAAGAGTGGTGTTAGGAGGAAGGAACTTTACTGTGAGAAATTTACTGTCTCTGTGCATCAATTCATCTTCCAAGCCTGGAGGATGAGCAAGAGCATTGTTGAGGAGAAGCAGGGCCTTGAGTGCCAAATGTTTCTCCTGCAGATATTTTTCTATGGCAGGGCACACCACTTCATTCACCCACTCTAAAAAAAAAAAATTCTAGTCATCCATGCCCTTTTATTAGCCTTCCACATTACACATATTTGGTTTTTCTTCACTTTATAGTGTTTGAAAACCCTTGGATTTTCAGAATGATACTCTAGCAAGGGTTTAATTTTCAAATCGCCACTCTCATTTGAACACAGCACAACCGTAAACCTATCTTTCATAGGCTTGTGTCCGGGCAATGATTTTTCCTCCTTGGTAATGTATGTCCTCTTATGCAATCTTTTCCAGAACAGTCCTGTTTCATCACAATTAAAAACTTGTTGCGGTAGGTATCCCTCATCCTCTGCAAACTCTTTAAATTCTTCAATAAATCTTTCAGCTCCTGGTTTGTCTGAGCTGGCTGCCTCCCCATGCCTCGCAACACTATGGATACCACTTCTTTTTCTAAATTTTTTCAAACCATCCCCTGCTTGCCTTAAAGTCTATCGTATCTGCACTCGTTTCAGGAGTTTTCTTTACAAGGTCTTCATGCAATACCCTGACTTTCTCACAAATGATGGCCTCTGAAACACTATCACCCGCTAACTCCTTGTTGTGTATCCAAATTAATAACAAATTTTCCACTTCTTCAAGTATTTGTGGTCTTTGTTTCATGATTGTTCATACGCCTTTTGCCACTTTAGCACTCATAATGTCCTTTTTCTTGCCAAGTATAGTGCATATTGTTGACGTGGCTTTGTTTTACGGCCTACAAAGTTCAACAACACGTGTACCATTTTCATGCTTCCGAATGATCTCTTGTTTTTCCTCTATTGTCATCCTCGCATGCGCTTTCTTGCCTTGATCCTTGCCACTGGCTTTCTTGGGGCCCATGGTGAGATATATATAATAACAACTTTTATAGTCAAATGACCAAAAATCCAACAAAACACTGAAAATCCTGGTGAAGAATTGACGCGGGATAGTCACTGGGCGCGAGACATTGGTAAACCGAGGGGTGAGGGGCGACGATCGCCGTACCACCACGTGCTAGGTCGGCCTGTACGCGTATCAACACCCTTGCCTTCCGAGGCAAATTTTCTGAGGAAATCCTGCTCGTATTCCGAAAACTCGAATACATGGACACTCATATTCCGAGGTACCACTGTATTTAATGTATAAAAAGTATTTAATGTTTATTTAATGTAGTTTTTTAATGTAGATTTTTTAATGTAGATTGTTTTTAATGTAAATTATTTTAATGTAGATTTTTTTATTGTAGATTTTTTTAATGTAGATTTTATTTTTTAATGTAGGTTTTTTAATGTAGTTTTTTTTATTGTAGGGTTTTGAATGTAAGTTTTTTAAATGTGTTTTTTTTAGCTAGATGACGTGAGATATGGTGCGTGCAGGATTGTGGTGGTTGAGGGGTTGTAAAAAAGGATACCAGAGGTACAAGCCATAGAGGTTCACGAGGAGTACTGTTATCGGTAGAAGAGAAAAGAGGGGTGCCATGAATATCAGAAGACTCATACTATCAGTACTTTACTCTGGCATTGTTACTAAAATATGTCTGATGTTAATCTAATCCCTAACAGAGCCAGTGGCGCCATCTTCAGGATCAACATCAGGTGGACAACAGGACAGTGTTGCAGGCCCGGCTTTCCTGTATGTGTCACTGATCCTGACCTGCCTCTTCTACACCCACCATTAAGTTCTCGACACTGATATGTGTTGAGAACAACACTTGCCGAAAGTGTAGTGCATCAAAATGTTCTCCACACGTTCAGAAGATGGTCATAATGGTTTATTGTAGTGCATAAATAGGCTTCGTCACGTTGTAATAGTTTTTTTAAGTTTCTTTTTAATCAACTGCTAATACCAGGAGAGTTCTGATCGCAAAATCCATGATTATTCATTTTTATTGTTCACAGAAAAACTAACAAATTACAAAAATTCTCATGATTAAGTTTTAAGTAAATAATGCACATTGTTGCAATTAAAAAATTTCTAAGAGTACCTTTATATTTTTACCCTTAATTGTATAAAGCATGTGGTTTGAAGGCCTGACTCTCGATTCAACATTGGAACGATGTTGAAACTATGTCGTTTAAACGTCGATTTAGTTTTGATTAACTGTTCATTCAAATGCGAATTCAACACTTATGGATTACACGTTAAAATGAAGTTGAATAAATGTATATATAAATAAATGACGTTGATTCAACTTAGATTGTTTTAATTCACTGTTCATTCAAATCTGATTTGAACACTGATGGACTAGACATTAAAACATTGAATCAACATTGAAACGACATTAAATCTACATCGTTTTATTGTTGTTTTAACGTTCATTCAATGTAGTTTCAACTTATAATTCACTTAAATGCTTAATTGACATTGATTTGAATTAAATTTGACTTCGATTTGATGTTTAATTTTTTTATATAATGTTGAAACATTGTTGAATTAACATCGAATCCATGTTATATTGATTCATCATATATATTATATAAATGTTTAAATGAAGATGATTCAATGTTGAACTTGTTGAAAATGCCAAAATAATCTTTTGAAACAATATGGACAATGAATCCCACATTCTGGATTCTTTTTTAAAAGACTTAAGAGTGGCACCAACTGTGACAAGCAACATACCGAGGAGCATGTGGATCGACCCCTGCCCTTATGACACTCCCAATACAATCACAATTCACCATGGAATGTTCTATAAGTATAACTTCAGTCATCTGATCTCAAACACTAATATACATAAGGATTACAAAACAAAAAGGTACCTAACACCCCTTAGGTACTTAGCATTTAAAACATTTAAATGCTTCAACAAAACATTATGAACGATTTGTGAAAAAGCGTTCAGTTTTTTAATACTCTACCAAACGGATATAGATCTATATATCCATTCTGTATTATATACAACATGTACACCAATAAGTAGGGGTAGCCCCAAGTAAGTAATTTTCAAAAGCCGGCACTAAGCCAGGGAGGCTATGTAGCATCGTCAAATGTGTGGGATATTCAACAGGCACTAAATATAACTAAAAATGCCAATACGAGGACAAAAGCGCACAACAAGGGGTACCCTTAAGACAATATTTTGTCTTCAACCATGTTCAGTACAAAACCTATCACTGCAACAAATCCATTACCATTTTTTTTTTCAAAGAGGATTTTTCGGGGTTCAGTGCCTTGGTGCCTACCCGAGCCCTCGCTCGATGTGTTCACAGATGCGTCGTCTCTGGGCTGAGGCTTTGTGACCAGTGCTGACTAGGCTGGCCAGGGGCAGTGGGGTCTGTCCTTCTGTCGGGTCCACATCACGGTGTGAGAATTCATGGCGGTGTGGTTGTCATTCCGGATTTTTTCGGATTGCTTGCGGATCGACGATCAGGCTCCATTCTGACTGCTTCTCTGGTGGTTCATTGCCTGAACCAAGGCGGGTATGATGTAGCCCTTGGCTCTTTGGACCTGGTCGCTTTGAGTGACTCTTCTGCCTTGTTCTCTGGGTTTGGTGCTCCGGGCCGTTCACATTCGGGGGTTGTCCCACATCCTGGTGGACGGCCTGTCCCGTTCATTCCCCTGTCCACGGAATGGATGGTCGATACTGACTCGTTCAGTTGGCTCTGCCGGACGTTCGGACTTCCGGAGGTGGACCTCTTCACGTCGGCATGGTCGAGGCGTCTTCCGTATTATGTGGCGCCCATCCTCGACTGCGAGGGCGTCAAGGTCGACGCCTTTCGGCAGGACTGGTCGAGGTGGGTTACCTTTACCTCCTCTTCCCCCCTGTTTCATTGTTACTCCAGGTCCAAGCTCGCTTAGAGACTTACAAGGGAAGAGTAGTCCTCTTGGCTCCTTGGTGGCCAAGAGGACTACTGTACTTCCATTTCTTTTATCCTTTCGTAGGTGCACTTTGGTTCCTGATAGAGTTGTCTTGTCCTTTCCCTCGTGGTTGTTTCAGGACTGTTATCTTATGCCAAATACTGTCGCCCCTTATTGTGCGACGCTGGCGGAGCCACTGCAGCTTGCGTTCAGGGTTGATGTTACTTCGGATCTGTTCTGCAAGGTGGCTCATGTGTTGTTTCACCTCCGGCCTGCTCATGCGCCACCTGAGCCATCCTGGTTTTGGATCGGGTGCTCTCCTTTCTCTCTTCTCCTTGGTTTGTTGTGGCCCCTTCGGTTCAGGATTATTTCTCCAAGGTTCTTTTCCTGTTGGCATTGGTGTCTGGGGGTAGGGTCAGGTAGCTTCATGCTCTCCTCTGGCGTAAGGGTTTCTGTTCGTTTGGTCCTGGTTGAAGGTTTGTTTGGTTGTAGCCGTCTCCTTTTCTGGCAAAGAATGAGACTGCTACTTTCCATAGGGGGTCCTTGGGTTGTTGATGCTTGGTTGGTTAGGCCGGGGGTGCATCATGTGTTGTGTCCGGTTGCGGCTCTTCGCCGTTATGTGCACGCCTCAGCTTCTGTGTCCGGGGATGCGCTTTGGGTTGATCCGGTTTCCCCTCTTTTCATCCGGTTTTCCTTCTTTCTTTTCTTCTTTTTGGTTCCAGGGTTCAGGCCTCCCTGGTCGTCCTCAGGATTATTTGGTTCAGCCAGCCTGCGGTCTATACCCATGCCCCCGACGTTCGTAAGTTTGCTGCACTTGCTGCTGTCTTTGGTAACATGTCTTGGGCTGACATTCGGGCGCGGGATTTTTGGCGGTCGAATAGGGTTCTGGCTGCGTGCTGCCTGGTTTAATGACCCCCATGTAGCCTGGGTGGAACGAGTCTACCCCAGTGAGTAGAGTATTCTGCCTTCTGGACCCGATTGAGAGGTCAGAGGAAAGATGTATATATTTAATATATAATAAACATCAGTGAATAATTTAAAAAATTAAGCAGGGGATGAGCATTTAAATAAGTGACATGAAATGAGATGTCGATACTTTGGTGACATGACGTGAGGCTAGCAGGAAGTCATGACCTTACTTGAGTCACATCAGTTGTCAAAGAAGGTTGTATTTTGTTGATCTCCTGGCAGTATGAAGAACCTTAACTGTGTGCTACTTCAAGAGGAGGGAATCAAGCAGGAATTTATGTGTGAAGCCTGTTGGACGACTTAGTGTCCTTAAGTCAGGAGCAGAAGAGCTGTGAGGCCGTCATTAAGAAACTTTGTTGGAGGTCTTAGAGAACGACATCTGGGAGCGCAGCAGCTGAGTGCCCTCGAGCTACAAATGCTGCAGTAAGCTCATATAACAGTGTTATAGTGGTTGCTTGTACTTGACCGTGTGCCCAGCAATCATGGCAAGTGTTTATGCATGTAGGACATAAATTTTTTTGTGGCAGTGAGCTAAAATAGACGGTTAGAGATAAGAGAACAGGCTGGAGGGGTGGTACATCCTCCCTCACCAAAGGTCAAGTGCTGACTGAAGGGGAAAGCCCCCCAGCCTCGAGACTAGGGAGGCGGCGCAACGTGTCAAGACATATTCCCAGAGTGGACTTGCCCAGGATGGGGGAGGACCATCGCGGCGACGCATTAGTGTTTAAAGAGGAAGAGTTTTATTTTCTGTGAATACATTTAATTATGTTATGTTAGGAAAACGTTTATTATAGTATGATGATGGATTTGCAGGTTTCTGTGAAAACATAAATTAATAAATGATTCACAACATGATTTTACAAATCGCCGTTTATGTTTAAGAAATTTGCTACCATTTTATTCCAGCATAGTTGAGGCAGTTGATAGTGATAAGGTTTGAGATGTTGTGTACCTTGACTTTAACAAAGCTTTTGATACAGTGCCACATGAAAGACTGATTAAAAAGTTAGAGGCTCACAGTATTGGGGTGCTATATTAAGTTAGATTAGGACATGGTTATACCAAAGGAAACAAAGAGTTATTATAAATGGGGTTAAGACAGAGTGGGAAAATGTTGTAATTCGAGTGGCTCAAGGCTCTGTCCTGAGACCTCTGTTCTTCATAATATATATAAATAATTTAGGTTCAGGTTTGAGCAGCAATATTTGCAAATTTGCCGATGATACAAAAATCGGGTTGGAAATAAACACGGATGAAGACTTTCTATTACTTCAAAACTCAAGACGAGTTTTGAAATGGTCAAAAGACTTGCAGATGCAGTTTAATGCTGACAAATGTAAGGTTGTAAGACTAGGTAATGATGATACAAGATACGAGCTAGATGGTGTTGAGATTGCAAAAGAGATCTGGAAGTTATGATAAGTAAGAATTTAAATCCAAAAAATCAATGCATAAATGTTCGTAATAAGGCAAATAGGACACTGGGATTTATTAATCGAAGCGTTACTAATAAGACACCTGGTGTTGTTCTTCCGCTATATCTTGCTCTGGTTAGGCCCCATTTAGATTATGCAGTTCAGTTTTGTTCGCCGTACTATAGAATGATATAAATTCACTTGAACGTGACCAGCATAGGATGACAAAGTTAATTCCCCAAATTAGAAACCTGTCATATGAAGAAAGATTAACAAAGCTTAAATTGCATTCACTGGAAAGGCGAAGAGCTAGGGGTGACATGATAGAGGTTTACAAGTAGATGAATGGACATAACAAAGGGGGATATTAATTAGGGTATTAAAAATATCAACACAAGATAGAACACGAAACAATGGGTATAAATTGGATAAGTTTATATTTAGGAAAGACTTGGGTAAATACTGGTTCGGTAACAGGGCTGTTGAATTGTGGAAGCAATTACCGCGTAACGTGCTGGAGGTGGGGTCCCTCGATTGTTTCAAATGTGGGTTGGACATATATATGAGTGGGATTGGGTGGTTATAAATAGGAGCTGCGTCGTATGGGGCCAATAGGCCTTCTGCAGTTATCTTTGTTTTTATGTTCTTATTAGAAAAGCAGTTGAAGAATGGAACACACTAGTGAACATTCTGCATCTACATCCGCCACCAAGATAATGTTACTAAAATAAAACTAAAACCAGTGCGCTTAAACAGAAGTGAAAAAGAAACAGGGAAAAGTAGGAAACCCCCATATCAATTTAAAACTTTGACCCAAATATCACAGTAACAAGGTTATCGCGAATAACCGAACTCAATTACGGGCTCACTATAGCCCGTGCCGAAGCCGTAAATGCCAAAATTCTCTTAAATATTAAAATCCACCTGAACAAATCATTATGGTAAATAGGAGCTGCTCCGTATGGAACTGCCTTTTGCAGTTACCTTAGATCTTATGTTTTTATATGCCTTCTGCAGGGGGGGGGGGACTTTTGATAAGCCGCCGGCTTCCAGTCCTCGTCGAGGCCACTAACTAAAGGGCTAATGGCCCTCATGTTCTCATGTTGGGGAGGCTGTACACGAGCTGATTGACAGCTGAGGGGCGGGTCTAAACAGTCGAAGCTCAATCCCCCCAAGCACAACTAGGCGAGTCCATTGGAATTACCGTGTGTCCTTGCGCCATCTATGTTTTGACAGCAGTACTACTACTGTACCCACGTTACTCGATGATCAATATATGGGTGTTATGGTCAGTCGGTTTTCTATATATGTTTCTGGACAACATAGGTGATTTGGGGCAGGTTGCGGACAGTGTGTTTAGTAGCAGCTAAATAGTCAGCGTTGGACCTGTCCTTCTACGTGGTCGACCAGCAGGTAAGAATTGAGTCTGTTAGTTTTGTATTTAGGAGGGTATTTGTGGGAAAGTTACTTGAAACTAAAATTGCAAATATCATTCGTCTTCATACTGGAAAATAGCTTCGTACATGAATATCATGGTTTTACTATTGGCTGTTAATGGCTAAACAAACTTGCATAGTTATGACAATTGATAAGGTTTGTTATGTGTACCTTGACTTTAGCAAAGCTTTTGATAGTGCCACATGAAATATGAAAGTTAAGAGGGTGACGTTATTAAGAGTGCTGAATTAAGCGATTAGGGTCTGGCTATACCAAAGGAAATGGTTAGTATAATGGAGTTAATTTACGGGAAACGTGTTGTTAATGCCTCAAAGCTGTATTAGGACCTAGGTTATTCATACTATGAAGTAAAGAATCGGGTTTGAGCAGCAGTTATTACGGAATTGGCAAATAAAAAAAAATTGGGAAGGAAATAAACTTACTGTAACTTGACGATCTAAATAGGCTTTTGGAAGTGGTGGATGAAGATTGCCAGATGCTGTTTAATGCTGACAAATGTAAGCTTTTGAGGCTAGGTAATAATAAAGAGCTAGATGGTGTTGAGAATGTAAAAGGGATCTAGGATTTGATGGTTAAAAAAACCTAAGCATAATGTTCCTAATTAGGTAAATAGGACACCATGAATTATTTGTCGAAGCATTGCTAATAAAAAGCCTGCTGTTATTCTTAGGCTATACCTTTTTATCTTGAGGCACATTTATATTGTGTAGCTTGGTTTTGGTCGCCATGCTATATAGTAACAAACGATGTTATCCAGCGTGCGTAATGTTTAAATCGTAAATCGTTATATTCCCTAGAATACGACCGCGAAATGGTTTAACCAGGTAAACCTCTTGCTGTTGGGCGGACTGACGCTACAGTTAAGGATTTCCGCCCAGTAAATCCTCCCCGGCCAGGAGGGGAACCCAGGACAAAGCGCTGGCGAAACTCGAGACGGGCGTCTTGGATTGCTTAACTAGGTGCTTAAATGATGTCGTGGGAGTTCAGTTTATGGTAAGTTTAGTGCCGATGATTGGGGTTTATGGGAAGTTGTTTAACGTCAGCCTGGGGGAATGACTGTAGAGTAATTAAAGTTTATCCAGCATCAGTTGGGGAAATAAGGTTCGTAACTACCAAAGTTGTATTGGATTTTTTCTTTTAGAATGTTCCTTAAATGTGAACTTTAAATGCCAAGGGCTTCGTGGTTAAATTTATTTAAAAATTTAAGATGGGAAGGGGTTAACTTGTTACTTTCATTAGTTTTAAAATGAACTGTTAAGGTTGGTTATTATGCATATACGTTTATTAACAATATTTACTGTTCCCATGATAGGTTGTGGAAGGTCGTGACAACAATGGAACTTAAAGTTCTGAAGGAACATGGTTTACGGACTAATCATCGTAAATGTTAGTGATTTACAGTAAGTACCATGGTTGTTTACGTCAGAATTAAGTTTATTTCTATAGATTTATAGCTACAATCTTTCTAAATATGTAGGGAAAAATATAACCCAATTTTGAAGTGAAATTATTTTTGTAGGCCTAATCTAGTTAATATTTTATCCTAAAGTCCATGGAGGAATTGTACTTTGAATAGTATTTCAAATTAATTTTAATAACACTTGGCTCTTAAACAGCATCAACTAAAATTGAGGGTCTATGCATAGTTGTTCATTAATACAATTTAAATATAATTGGCTTGCTTAATTTTCAAACTTCTGCAAATTACTTGGCTCTTAATAAGTGTAGAAATTAATTTGTTGTAAGTTTCTAGTTATTCGTAAACGAAAACTAAACTGTTAATCTTTTGGCACTGTCAGTACAGTAATTCCCTTGATCAAAGTAAAAATATTGAGTACTAAAGCTGTTTTACGTGAATGTTTAAATAGATTTATCGTCTTTCAGAATATGAAATGGAAAGTGCAGAACATTGGTCCTTCAGTTGGAATGTGGTGACCAGCTTCAGTTACGGAATCAGGTGAGGAACGTGAGATACTTTCCAGTGAACACTGGTAAAGCTATCTATATAGCATGTTGTAAGCTATCTGATGATCCTTAAATTTAGATATTAATGTAAACTGCTATTTCGACCAATCACTTATTAGAAATTGTGAATTACATTGTTTCTCACCTTAAGTGTACTAGTGAAAACTGTAAAGTTTTTTATTTTGCTTATTAAAGTAAGATTTTTTATTGCTACCAGAATATGAAAGGTTAAACTTTCCGTAAAGTATGTTTATCCACTGAATTTAATGTACATAAATGTTAAATTTTTATGGAAGATTTAAGTAAATTTGTAAAAATTTTCAGGTGGTAATGTGTTACAACGGCATCAAGGCAGTGACTGGCGTGTTCTAATCTGCAAAATAGTCTACTAAGCTGGTGAGTATTTTTAAAGTTTTTAGCTATATAAATTAACGTAAATTCATTCTTATATCTAGTCCATTTATAGATGTGTAACCATGTCCTACTGTTACATCCTGCAGGGATTGATGCAGTTTGTACTGATCCTACCCCATTTCATAGAAGGGGACCAGGCAGTCCTGCAGATTTCCCTGGCCTGGCTTTTTCAGAGCTCTGCTCTACTACCCGTCTATTGGATGGACTAGAAGTGCATAGGTTTAGGGACCGTTAACAATGGCTTCATTGTTAATTCTCACAGGGCTTGTTCGCTGAATGAGTGGATGCATCCAAAAACTTTAGTGCCCTCCAATGCTATGTACATGGCTTACTATAAAGCACATGTACATTGTGTTGAGGGCACTAAAGTGGTGGATGTACTGCACTCATTCGGGGAACAAGCTCTGAACCACAATACGAGGAAGGGATAGGCCTTGCTGAGCCTATCTTAAAAGATAGGCTGTTAGGGTTTTTGGATCTTCTTTTTAGGCATTGGGGTTAATAAAAGTAGTGTCCCTGTTTAATGTTTATTTTTTTTACAGGTGATGGTCCTTTGGAGTTGTCTCTGCCTCTGGGATCTTCAGTGATTGCATCTAGGAACATCAGTTTACAACAATCTGAAATAAAAGATGTAATATAAATACTGTACTATGTAATTTTTTAAATAAATCTTTTAATTAAAACTTTACATACTTTATCCTGAAAAAGATTTAAGTCATGCTGGAAATTACTGCACTAAGTGCAAAGAATTCTTTAACAATAACATCTAAAGACTGACTGATAAGTTTGACTTAAGATTTCAAATAAACAATTGGCTTTCACTTTACATAAAATTAAATTTGCATGCGTTAAGGTATAATGTGGGAACTTTCTTAATCTCTTGCCACAAATTCTTTGAATGTAAATCCAAATTTCAACTTTAAGGCTATGCAGCACCTTACCAACAAATTGAAAAAAAACTGTAAAAATACTTACGTTTTGCAATCTTTTCATGATTAGGGCCATTGACCATGTTCACCCGAACATTCAGCCCAGTGGTACACTTCATGCTTTGGCCTATGTTCGTATCATCCTACAATCTGGGATGAGCCAACAAATATTTACATTAAACTTTACACAATGATCAGAAGACAATATAATTCAATTTTCCTATTGTTACCAGCGATTTAAGTCTAGACTATCTGGATCAGTGATAAACATTGGTGTATTTGATTACGGTACTGTAGGTACTAGCTCTAACATTATTCAGGGAAAAGTACATACATATAGATGAGAAACGTTCGATTTATAATGATGCTTAAATTTGCTAACTTGGCTACAAACTAGTCTAAATTTATCCAGAGAACATATCAACCTACTGTCTGTGGGTTTAATGTGCTGAGAAGTGATCTGAAAGTCGCTTTGGTATCCCAGGGCCTGGAGAACCTCAGGACTGTATAGTTCCGGTATCCTCCAAGCACATTACGTTCCTGAGAGTTTCCTAAGACAGGATACCAGTTACTTTCTCTATGAAGAAACTGTTGGGTAGGATTCACAATTAACGCCCCCATGAACACCCTCTGATAGTGGGACATTTACATTACCTAATTAGGTCCAGTATCTCTTCCTCTCCCCCATAATAAAACTAATCTATTTATTTAAGAGTTAATTATACAATAGTTATGCATACAAAGTTAAATATTTTCTTTGAAATGAGAAAAAATGGCGAAATCCGTAGGGGCAAACTAAGCTAAACCAAGGACCCAGCATAGGTGACATACTCGTCAGCGACTACGGAAGTAGTACAGAACAAGGCTCATGCTTGGCACAACTGTGTAATGAGAAATGTTTACAGGTCTGCATCCACCAGACGATGAGCACCTTATGGTGCCGTGGAGAATGTGCTGGTCCTCGGATAATCAGTAAGAGGAGATACAGAAGGTTATGACGAACAGCCTCCTTCAAGATCTTTGTCGTATTCCTTAACTACTGCTCTATTGTGGGCAAAACGTACTCTGGTAACTTATTGAACGTTGATTCAACATTTTTTGGAATCCATTTCATGTTTTAGCAACTTTGTTAGACTACCTTTCCCAGTGTGGGTAATGTAAGATATATCTTCCACTATCTGATTCTTCCCTCCCCTCCCACCGTCCAAGCCTGTGTGAAAATTATGTCATGGCAGTGATGATAAACTGGCCTTGTGCAACACTGATATGGAAAACTGAAGAAGAAACAGTACAGCGAGAATAAAACAAACTTTTGCCTCATTTAAAAACAAAAACAAAAAGTACCTAATTTCATCTTCGTAGTTTCCTACACTGAGCTTTAAATTTGCTCTGTATCTAGTGTTACCCAATCTCCCAATCTTTATGTACTTAATCCAAACAACTTTATCATTGTGTTCATTGCTGTCTTATGTGCTAGCCATATGCTGTATTGTCCCTACTAATTTTAGTTAAACTACCACTCAAGCTGTCATTGTAATCAATCTCAGCTACCCATGTGCTTTACTATACCTACATTTTTCTCTTATTTTTTCTTGCTATGTAACTTTTTATAAATTTTGCAACTATTTACCTACTTAAAATTTTCGTAGATTAAGGACCTGTCCGAAATGCTGTGCGTATTAGTGGCTTTACAAGAATGCAATTACTATGCTATGTATCCTCACAATCCCAATGTACCTTCTGTATATATATAAATAGTCATGTCATGCTCCCCCCCCCCCCCTTTTTTTGCCCCCTTTTTCTACACAAAGACTAAAGCTTGATACTAAACGAGATTAAAGTAAAAGCGTTTTTCCCCACACCTTGCAAGAAACGCCGTGCGTATCACTGGCTTTAGGTATTGTATGTACTACCTCTGTCTATAATTCAAACGTTATGTTTGTAACTCATCTTCAAATGTATGTACTTTTACCTGCATAAACATTTTGATTTTGAATAGGGATTATGACAGAGGATCTGTAGGTTAAAGAGAAGTTCAAAATAGGATAATCATTGGGAAAAACAATTCCTTCATTTATTACCATTTACCCATACAAACTTTCCCTACCAAAAAAAAACAAATTTAATTCTCGTCGTCTGAGACAGAAAAGCCGTTAGCCTTACTGAGGTCTCATAAGCAGATCATTTATTTCACCAGGATGATACCCACAACAGTCAACCAAGTCCCAGGTACTTAAATATTACTGTATTAATGTGGGGTAACATCTCATTGTCTGGGAATCCAACCAGTAGCATTCAGTTGCGAGACGACTGCACAACAGCTGCGTGTACCCACCTTAACAGCGACCAAAAGCGCCATCTACAACAACAGGGTGACTCACGTAGAGGAAGACAACATGGCCTTTGTCACAGATCCAGCCCAGGATGATGTCTGCTCCCTGCATGCCTCCGCTGGGGGTGAAGGGAAGGAAACTATGAAGAGAAGCGCCAAGCCATTACGACTATATAGCACTGGGAAGGGGTCAGGATAAGGATTTGGGATGGGGGGGGGGGAGGAATGATGCACTTGGACGGTCGGGGATTGAACGCCGACCTGCATGAAGGGAGACCGTCGCTCTACCGTCCACCCCAAGTGGTTGGAACCGCTGGGAGAGAACCTCAAGCCAACGTACCCAGGCGTCGCCACCTCCAGCGTCGCCACCTCCAGCCCGCCACAGAGAACGTCATGGGGGGATACATACGAATAATAAATTACTTAACTGCTCTTGTTAGTGTTACTAGTTCATAACCGTTCCTAAATACAATTGTATGAGCTAACCATTAATACATTATATTCATCGTTATACAGATGGGCACATTTATATACTTATGTAAGCCTGAATAAGCTTTAATGATAAAAGTTCAGCTCTAAAACTAGACAGTTCAACCCTCGGCCCAGTGCTGTTTTCAATAACTATGCGTATTAAACATTAAAGCTTAGGTTCAATCTCTACCAACACATTCGTCAACCGTTTATTTTCCCCAAGGTTTAAAAACTTTACTTCTATGCATAGATCAACCCTTTAAAAGAACATTAAGACTAAAAAATATTTAGAGGAGTTTGGAAGCTCTAACCAGCGTCCTGTGTCATCACTGACCGACTTAGCAATTAATTAAAACTTACCAATACCTGCGTTCATCAGACGAGTACGATTCCCATAATATATTTTAGTACAATTCACGAACAAATCTGGTTAATGTTCCAGAACATCTTAATGTTAATTTATTTTCAAGTAGCTAAACTAGCTCTACTAGCTGTTAGTTTATGACGCTTGTTAACGGGGAATACTTTAACAAAGTGGAAGACCATGTCCTTATCAAGGAAAAATCTTTTGTTTACAGGTGCTCTTATTGTTAATGTTAGGAATAAAGGGATAAATACCACATCGTATACGAGCTGCTCGCCGACGGATTTGAAAACCTAACCTAAACTAACCGACCAACTAGCGGACACGTCAACACAACAATGGCGAGGCTAACCTGAACTTGGAATACGACATCCTTCTCTCTGGGCGTCCACAGCATTACGTAGGCGCCGTCCTGGTCCAAGAAAGCCCTGTGCTCTAAGTGGGGAAGCTTGAGCTCCTCGTCCACCCACACGCCGAGAGTCGCACCACAACACGCCGCCATAACCACCCACACTGTCCACCTCCAACTACCCATGCTGGAAGGACAACAATTCCATTTTCTCTTCCAGTGATTGATCACCGTTTTCTTTTAAGGACTTGCAGATATAAATATTCTGTTTTGGAATGCTTGACTTGCTTAAAATACATATACCATGTGTGAAGCAATAATGTGATATTCCTATATCCTTTTAGCCACGATACAATAACCGGTCACAAAGGTTATTCGTCCATATAGAAGACGACCTTGACACAGTCAGAAATTTCTAACATATCGTGTCTTCAAAAACGATATTTTCTCAATTTTTATTTAATATTGTTACATATTAATATTTTATGCAAGTTAAGTAGAGGGTAGTCAGCTAGGTTCTATTGGGAATTATTTGTGTTTGAGTCCGTGGGTGAAGCATTTAGAGAGCGAAGCAATGATTGACAACAGTTCGAGCTTTAGTTCTGAGTCGTACAACCGCTTATCATTCATCAACACGTGGTTTTGTAACCGGATTAATGAGCATTTGACCTTTTGTATATGAGGAAGGGCTGCAGGCTGTTACATCCGTCACTCAAAAGAGTACCTTCAATCTTTTCATGAAGAGCGTTTTGATCTTTTCTTGCGTTCGAGTCGCACCTCTCTAAATGCTTCACAAACGTATTGCAAGTGTAAATAATTGCCAAAAGAACCATAACACTGAATGTCAGTTTTAACACAATAACTTAAAACTGACTTGAGCATCTTTAAAGTCTGGTGTAGCTTGGACGCCAGAGCTTATGAACTGGCTCGAATCTGATCATACTCGATTCTTTTTTGCACTTTTGTTTCACCTGTGAACTTTAATCCCAAATAATTTCCAATGGAGAAAAAACTTATCTTGGGCTATATATACAACCCGTCCTCGTAAACAAATGCCGAAAACCATTCCATGCACCCGCCAAACCCCTTGTTGATGAATGAAAAACGGTTTACACACGACTTTCAACTGATGACGTCCGAACACTTCCGGAACAAGTGCTTCGCTGACAACTTTTGTTCGAACCATAACGCTGTAAATACTCCACCCACGTACTACAAATACAAATAATCGTCAATTGAACCTAAACAC